ATGAGGTTCTGCCCTGGCAAAACTGTTCATTGTTCCTTTGTTAATTAGTGATGCTACAAACGATGCAAGTTTGTGACGTAAACAATCGTCATTCCATGTAAAAACTTATTGATAATGCGGGATGGTCAAAGTTTCCAATTTTCTTAGATTAAACCCATAAAAATTCATAATACAATACCCAAGTTCATTCAGGTTATGATCAATTCAACTTTTTTCAGACCATAAATACATCAAAAAGATCCAAGTAGCCAACATATATGATTCAAAATTCACATTATTTCATAAGCCAGTGGCTATCTAAACTCAGTAGATAAGTCGATGATGTGATGTATTTTGAAGACAAAGGTACTGGATTAGAGTCCCGAAGTGAACATAAAATCTGAAGTGCATTTGGATTAAGATGAGTCCCCAACAGAAATATACATGCATTTAGATTCCACAGCTAGTCAGAATCCATCTCTGTTCAAAATGGTTGTGATCTAATGGCAATGTCGAGGCACAAATGCTGAGAGAAACTGATCAATTTCAGTTTCAAACATCAATAGGAACATCCAAACAAAACGCCATCAAAATCATCCACCTGAGCTAAAAATCTTCTCCATCATCTCAAAACTATATATCATTCCCTGTACCTTTCCACTTGCTGAAAAATGTCAACATTGGAGATCCAGTGAGTAATACAGGAAGATTTTGAAAATGAACGTTAACAAACTTACTTCAAACAAAACAGTTTATAAAAACTGACCATTTATTAAACAAAAGGGGTTTTGTGGAGATTTTAGGAATTTTCACTGATTGAAATAATGAGTCATTTGAAGCTAGTTCACCATGGAAAACCTGGAAACACTGGACGGATGTTTCGTCCTAGCATGGGACTCCTCAGCAGTGCTCATCCAATCAGCGAAAATTTCTAAAGTCTCCACAAAACCCCTTCTGATAATAATCATCGTATGCTCACTAGTGGCTGACTTCAAGAGATACTCCTGGAGTTCTAGTGAGAAGCCGTTACCAGTGAAGTTCAAACAGGTCTGCTGTGAGATATTAACTCACTGAAGACAATAGTGTACGGTGACGCAACTTCTTGGATTGTTTGAAGTTAGACATTAACACCGCTGGATGCCGGCCGGCTCAGTGGTCCAGTTGGTTAAGCGCATGGCGCGAGACTGATAAGTCCTGTGTCGGAATCTCGCGGGGTGCGGGGTCGTAGATACGCACTGCTGAGGAGTCTCATACTAGGACGGAACGGCCGTCCAGTGCTTCCAGGTTTTCCATGCTGGACTAGCTTCAATTGACTCATTATTTCAATCAGTGAAAATTTCTAAAATCTCCAAAAAACCTCTTCTGACATTTATTAAACAGTTTACTGAACAGGTAAAAATTTAAAATTCTAGTAGCAGTAGTAGTAGTAGAAAAAAAATTTAGAAAGGAAAATCTTCAAAGGTGCATAAGCAGGCAATCTGTAAAAAGAAAAACTTGCTAATTTCTTATCATTAAACGTACAAATATCTGTATTCTATCTTTGTAGCATGGTTTTAATGACTAGTTAATGTATATGAAGATTAGGAAATTCCCAGCTGACAATCTTTTCAAATCATTGATTATATACTAATGTCAACCAAATGATTGAAAATATTTTTTTTATTATCTTTTGTATCATTACGTAGTGGATAAAATTCATCATCAGATAATTTTCATTATATTTCAAGGAGTTACATATGTTATTTACAATTGAAAGTACATGTGGCTGAAATTATAGCCCTCTTGAAAAAGCCATTAATTTATTTATAATTGTTTCGCTTGACTTATGATGATTATTACAGTTTTGACTACTGATAATTTAACAAACTTAGAATTTCTCAAATCTAACCACATTTACTCCAAGAATATCAATCAGTCTAAAACATCTACTTATTATTGTACAGTAGTTCAAAATTATAATGAAATTTTTCATGACGTACCGTCTGTCTATGATTTAATTATTTACAGTATGGAGTGATGAAGAGACTGTTAAGTTCTTTTAATGAGATCATAAATCGATCAGTTTTAGACCGCCATTGAAAATCTGGAAGCACTGGGGGCCGTTTCGTCCTAGTATGGTGCTCATCAGCAGTGCGCCTTCATGATCCCATGCGAAGGATTCGAACCCACGACAGTGATTCTCGGAGTAATAATGATAAACAGTGACCAATGGAGATAATCTGTTTAAGTAGAGTCAGGTATCTACCTCAGGCAATGGAAGATGGTCACGCAACTTAGTAGATCGGCTGAATTTAGACATTAATACTGTTCGGTGCCGGCTTAGTGGTCTAGAAGTTAAGCGTTCGCGCACGACACTAAGGGTCCAGGGTTCTAATCCCGCGTGCAGGATGATGGACGCCCACTTCTAAGCAGTCCCATACTAGAACGCAAACGGCCGTCCAGTGAGCTCAGGTTTCCGATGGTGGCCTAACATTCATCGATCGATCTATTTATTTGAACACATAGACATTGATACAAGGGAGCATCAACTACATACGCGTCACACAATAACACTTAGGTTATGAAGACCGAGAATGTAAAGTAGGTATAGTAAAACAGAACAACAAAGAACAGAAATTTGTATATGTGAGTGAAATAATAATAATAATGGGAGAAACAATTCAGTTAGCAAACGTACAACCAGAAAGAATTATTCCAGTTAAATAAGTTACGTCCACTTCCAATGAAGAAAGTAAAAGAAAAAATACACCAGGATCGCCACTGGCTTCCATTCTCATCCATATCTCATAATCTATCTACCCAATGTGTTGTACAATTTATAGCACCCAAACAAGAAAGTCGTGAACCACCAACAAAACACAGTTCTCTACAGCTCTCTTTCATACCACAACACCATGTCATACACTGAACACCTCCACTTCTTCTAACCACTACCAACGTATGTAAGTAATACACGATGTGAAATTCTCTGGGACAACATCCGTAGCACATGACCAAGCCACCGAAGTCCATATTTCAAGATGGTCACACCAACACATTTGTCGTCTCTGCACACGAACATCCGCATTATTAGCATGGCGTTGCCACTAGATGTCATCAATCCTTCAGAGATTACGATCATCAAACACAGAGAGTCATCTAACATCCTCAACTCCAACAGGCCAGCTTCAACAACAATAGAGCAAAACTGCTCTCACGAAGTGTTGTAGGTCAGATCTTTTACAGCCAGACTAACATCATCAAGGCACCAACGATGGCCAACATTGGCATAAACCGCTCTAGCTTTCACTACACATCAATTGATCTCATCACTCATGCAACCACCTGCACTTATGCACCTACCCAGATACACCATCTTCTCAACTACTTCTAGCTGCTCAGTACTCAGAGTAAGTGCAGGATCAGGGTCCTGCCAGTCTTGTAAAAGTAATTTGCACTTCAAAGGTGCAAGGCATAATGTAATACCTACGGACACTGATTAAATGTGGATTTTATAAATTGAGTATCAAGGTCGAAAAGTCTTGTTCCGGTCAACGAATCCACGCTACCATTACCTACGTCCATCATAGCTGCTTGCAGATTTCATTCATTTCTACCTCACTCTTTCTTATATTCTATTCGATAACGCATGAAAAATTCTAAGATATTAAAAGGTTGGAGGTAGTTAGCAAAAAACACTGAAACTCATTGATAGAATCCTATCACTAAAGAAGTAGTCAAAAGCCACATTGGCTGCTGCTTGAAGACTAATCAGTATAAACACTGCGATCCAAATAAAGTCAGTCCCGAACTAAAAAATTCAGTAGTAAAGTCTCAGGATGTGAGGCTGAAAACTTACAAGAAGCACCAGTCCCATCAGGACTCCAGATAAATTTACTGACGAGTATCACCTAGTAAAGAACCTATATCCAAGGTCCCCCGCTTTAAACCACATCATATAAAAAAGACTTGCAAAATGATAAATCATTTCACGACAAATTTCGTTTTCCAACTATACAACGTATCCTGCAATATCACAATTAATTAACAGGCTATTGATTTCCCTTTGGGCTCAAGGCATGAGATAGGGGAAATTTTGTAGATAATGAACTGATAGGAGCATAGCTTGTGTTGGGGCTCAACGTTAAAGATCCAGATCAGACGCATAACTGGTCAGGTATAGGCCGCTAGGCTACGGATGGAGAAATAAAAGTGGAACAAAGGGAAAGCTGTAATCAGAATTCTGATTGTTGAATTAATTGCATTGTATAAGTTATTGTCTCAATTCATAAGAAAATCCTTCAGCTTTCTAGATGTTTTCAAAATAATGAAGGGAACTATGTATATGAGAGGCTTTTATTCAATTCCGATTAGACGAAGCGGTTTCAGCATTTTCTAGACTTTTAGTGATTTTATCGATGGATATTTGTGACCTTGCGACCGTTATAAATGATAGTTTATATCACTTTGAACCTACATAATAATTATACACATATATTAGGAAGTTTTTACTTATCATTGAATTGAAAACTCTCATAACTTTAAATGACAAGATAAGATCACTTTATCAGTATAAGTCATTAAAATTTTATTCATACAAATCAAACAAAATAGAATAACATGAAACACGTTGAATATAATTCATATAAACAAAATGGACATTTGTAATCTATTCAAGATGACTGAAAATGTTTATTATTCACTAAAACATAATCGTTGAACATGACCTTAATGTGTTTTTATCTAACAAAACAACAATAGCAAATAATAATATCAATAACGGTGTTAATGATGATCACGGTATTAGTAATAATAATAGCTAAGAAGAAAAAGAACTAATTGAAATAAATTATTACATAATAAAGAGTATACAATTATGAACAAAATACATAAGAATTATATATATAAAATGTTCTAATGTAATCAAATGATCAATGAATATAACATTGCACAAACAGAGTCAATAATGTGGATTTATTTACGTTTTTCTTTATTATGACATGTATCATCAATAATTTGAATACATTTAAAAACAGATTTATTCAAGACTGTTTCACTTTATTCATTATTGAGAAATGAGAATTTGGATTATTAAGCAAATCTTGAGGATGACCAGTTTCAATCACTTGTCCATGATCTAATACAACAATCCTATGATTTTATTTTTTGAAAATAAAACAGTGTAAAAACAATAGTTAGTAAAAGATAGTTGAATAATATAACTTTCACATGAATGTTACGTAATAACCAGTATTAAGAAAAAACACTGTCATTACCCTTTATCTGATTAAAAATGGATACAATGTTGATATGTTAAAACCTTAAAACCCTCTGTGCTAATGTGGTATGGCAACTCGAACTGATGTACTTACGTACGTACGAAGTTTTACGTTGTTACTGACTGACTGACTGGATTTTAAAACCCTTATATACTCAAACAATCTCGAATTTACTAAGTAACGCCGGGGGCTATTAAAATTATAAAAAAAACTGTAGACCATATTAATGTATTTTTAAAAGAGGAAATTTGTAAATCTCACATTACCCTGGTAACTTTTTTATAATTCTTTCGATCATTTATTTTAGTTTTATACATTTTACTCTATTTATTTGTCCAATGTTATGGTTGTTATTACATGCTGTTGAGATATTATTCTGCATTCTTGAATGGTGCATATATATTTGGTGCCCTCTTGTACCAATATTTATGTGTTCATTCTATCGAAACATGCTTTTATGATTACTATTGTTTTGTTTTTTAAGTTGTGAGCAGCTGAATATAAATGAATTCATCTTATTCCACTATGTCTGTTATTCTTACTTCAGTTAAATCAATCTGAAATCTAAACAGTACTAAATTGATTCGCATTTTTGAGTATCAACAGTTTGCTTATCACAACTACATGTGATGTATATTTTTTAGAAGGTTTAATATATATATATATTTCTTAAAAGAAATATGTTACATTAAAATATGCTTGATTATTCATAATATTAGAATTTCTTATCAACTATCAATTTGCGTAATTAGTTTTTGACCATTTGACATATTTATAACAAATCATAAGTAACTGAAATCAATTTTCACCATATATTTTAAGAAGGCTAAATTTATACGATTCACGTTCAACATTTCTCGAATTTCATCAAGCTACTGCTGAATATCAATTAAGATATAAACGAAACTGTATTTAACTTGATCTCATAGGATCTAACATTGGAGTATATACATATTGATGTTTATTAATAAAAACATTAATTGTAGAAGCAGAGTAAAGTGGTATTGTGTTACCTAACCTCGACATGTGATGTTATCTGGTGTAAGAGTGTGTTGGAAGAAACTTAGATGAGGCCAAATGTAACATTAGTCTATGATGCCATTGACTATTATACTAAGTCATGTTGGAGTATGTGGAGTATTTGGCTAGGATCAGTACGATTTTTGTGACCAATAGTTGATGACTTTGGCTTGGAAACAATTAAAACGGCGCAGATGCATTCAATTTTTATGTTCCCTTAGATATTGAATTTCAGAATTACTTTACAACTTTTGTTTTACGAATTTACTTCTTTTTAAATAATCTCCAACCCTAATCTTTTATGCAATCCCTTAGTATTATTCTGATAAAGATCGTGATAGTTTCATCTTTTTTGTGCTCAAATGGTGTGACAAGTTGACCGATGTATATATGTGCAAGGTTCTACGTAGTTGATAACCGATTAGGACAGATAAATTTAGCAGAGCAATTGACAAGAAATTATAGAAGAATGAAGATCTTATTATCAGATAAATTAGCGAACAACTACGTATATTGTTATCTTATCGACAATAGTGTTCATCGTTATTTGTTTTATGAAAGTCGAAGGGATCAAATGAATTCTATTCATTTTATTTATTGTTAACTTTTCAAAATCCTACTGATATCATCTTTGATCCAATAGAAGTGTTATTATAAAAAATTCTTTTCACATACTCTTTACTTCAATGTCAGGATAATGTCTTATGTAAATGTTTAAGGTAGAATTTCACTTCAAAACAGATTTCACATTTTTTGCTATCATTCTAAAACATTTATGTAATGTAAAAACAAATTACAGATTGTAAGTATCCAGTGGAAAACAAGCGATATATTCTATATAATGTTTTGGTCTTTTTTCTATTTTGAATGATAAACATCAGAGTGAATTTTCATATCCGAATCCCTCATGGTATAACTAACTGACACACAGAAACACAATTGAATAAAATATAAAACAGTAGGTAAAGATACGACAATACAACAACAACTCAATGAAGTGACATGACAGTGGTTTCCTTCTTTAATCCTAAAGATAAGTTTTAAGAATATAGTTACAAACATTTAAAAAGACAGTGATTAGTTTGAATGCTATCGAAATATATGTTCAATATGTTTAGTAGCGTACGTTCAACACCCAAATATATGAGGATAAAGGATGTTGAGGGACAAGTTATTTCTGATTGTAACTACATTCGAAATTAAATTTAAACTACTGATAATGTGATTACTGGGGCTTATTGTTTTTCAAAAGGTAATCATTGCAAAAGTTATTGGCTTTTATATTTGTTTTAAAAGCAACAATAACCGATTACATCATTTTTCATTGTAACGGTTGACAAGTTTGAGGAGTGCAAATCGTTCATTACTGCAGGGGTGGATGGGTGTGAATAACAAATTTAAATCACAGTTATTTGATTATTCTAGGGAAAGAATGAGCTGAATGTCGCCTTCCGAAAATCATACACCATTGCAAATTGTTGTGATAACAGTCATGCAGTCGATTTGCATACGAAATATAAGAAGAAACGCGCAGATACCGACTAGAGATTACAGTGTTAGCTTTTTGAATCTTCCCATCAATGTTTACGACTGCAATTGATCAGCCTCTTTTTTGGTTATGGAAGAGAAATCAATCAACCCGAATAGAACTGTTACATAAGCATACAAAGTATGCATTTTTACCAATTGTAACAGTAAAATTTATATTACACCAAATATTAACTAAGTTACACAGGATACATTTACCTATCTGTGTTCATTACAGTGGATAAACGATGAGCAATAATAATAACAGTCGCGTCTTTAAACTGATCTCCTATTACGGTATTCATAACTAAATTATCTGTAGATGGATCCATTGCAGCTGTAGCTTCGTCAAGAATAAGTAAACGAACACGACCGCCGGAAGACAGGAATACTCGAGCTAGACAAACAAGTTGACGCTGACCAGCCTGTTGAAAAAATCACATTAGAACATTAGGTTAAACTATTAAAACTTTATTACACAAAAAAATGCAGGAACTTAATTTTAAAAACATTTTTAACATCAATGGAAACCAAATCTATGAAGAGATTGAGAGACGAAACGTAAACTTATAAGTGTCCATATAGTAGTGTATACATAATAGTTTTCAGAGTTAGTGATCGTAACTATAGGGAATAAATAAAATGTTTTCTCTCTATAGACATAACCGTAGTAAATTTAGGTAATAGCTAAATATTTGAAGTGAAGCTTGAACTAGGATATGTAATTTATTCGTAATACAAAAAAAGTGGATGTATTCATATAGCATACAATTCAGCTTAAAATAAACAATTCACCCTTGATTATTTTTCTATTCATTTATGCATGAAACATCAATTCACTCAGGTGTACAAAATACACTAACCGACAAGCAGTTTAACAATAGCTGTCACCTTGATGTGACAAACATTAGAAATTATAATAAGTATATCCTTTTCTTTAGTGGTTATCATTATCTTCATAAGATCATATTAATTCTCTACGTTTAGTTGTTTTTACATGAATTAAACATACTTGAAATATTGTAAAGCATAAAATTTTAAAAAATATAAATAGAAGGATTATGCTGACAATAATACAAGACGATAACGAGTTAATTCACTGACGTTTATTTGAAAAATAAATGCTTTGTTGTCTTTCTTTTCTTATTCTTATGCAGTTAGAATCGTTGACATGTTGTTGTACATTACGTGTTCTATCGACATGCGAAACCTTAAATATAGTATCATATCAGATGTATGTGTATATATACATGTGTGGCCCAAGTGATTGTTTGATCACATTAAATGTATTCACATATCAACTGAATTAGAATTCATGCAAATTAACTACTATTACTGCTACAAAGAAAGTGATTGTTCATTTTTCTATAATCAATAATAATAAAGAATATATACAGAACAGTTAATTAGTAGGAGAGAAAATTTTAATCAATTAAATTTAACGAACGATTTATTTTCACTACTTTCAACATAATTCGTTAATATAAATTTATGAGTTACACCAGTAATTTCTTAGAGATGAATGTAATACTAACCAACTTTAAAACTATCTAACAAAAATAAAACATCATTTTAACTAGTTTTTTTCTTTTGCTTTTAAGTAAATGAGAAAATATGGAATTAAGTTAATGGGTGAAACCTACTGAATATCCTATTGAAATTGATAATGATAAAATGTAAAGATGAATAGTGACTGGCAGTGGAATCTAGGATGTGCGTTTTGTCCTGTTTGGGACTCATCAGCTGGATGTACCTGCATCCGAGTTCATGTCCACTCTGGGACTCGAACCCAGTACCGCTAGCTTCAAACGCCTTCACGTTATTCACTTAGCTACTGAGTCCTGATAGCTGCTTGCTTGTGCAATGGGGTGAAGTTTAAATTCACTTGGTATTGTTTACTTGGATCTTCCCACTGATGTTTAGGACTGTAATTAATCAGTATGCATATATGCCAATAAGAGACTGATAAATTGCAGTCCTAAACATCAATGGGAAGATTGAAGTAAACAATACCAAGTGAAAGTAAACAATGACTGTAAATTTTTCGACTTTAACAACAAGTATATTAATTATTCCAACAACAATAATACACAAGTCGATCTAAGCTAGACCACCATTAAAAACTTGGAAGTATTGGACGGTTGTTTCTTCCTAGTATGGGACACTTCGACAGTGCGCATCCTCGATTCTGCACACGAAAATCGAACCCGGGAACTTCGGTCTCACGCACGAACGTTTAACCTCTAGACGGTATTCAGCGGTGTTAATGTCGTACTTCAATCAACCCATGATCGCGCACAACCCTTCATCCTTGTCTGAGGTGAATAACTGTCTCACAACGGACATGGATTGGATTCCACTGGTTACGGCCTCACACTAGAACACCAGGAAGTCCACCTTGAAGCTAGTCATTAGTGAGCACATGAATTCAACTGTGAAAATATTACAATTTCCACAAACTTCCATAATAGTAATAATAATAACAGTTATGATAAATAATCAAAATAATTTAAAACTGTTTATAATTTCTATTTCATATGAACACATATGATTAGTGAACTAACATCGAATAAGACTGACAAAAGTCCTATGAAATAACAATATAGTAGGATTATCTAATATACCAATATTTGATTAATAGTGGTATCGTTTTTGTTATATACATATATCACGAAATTAGTGTAGAATTATAGCGAAAAAATTATTCATATGAAACATTCATTCACTCTAATAGTCTTATTTTGTCCCAGTTTGACAATCCCCGGAATTCGAAATGCATAACCCAAATATGGATTCGATCCAAGGACCTATAAGTTCACGAGACTGTATTTACAATTCGTTGATCACTAAGTAGTGATCAATGTCATGTAAATCAAGTCCTTCTTAGTGTTGATCAAATTCTATCAATCAAATTGCAATGTGGAAACTAGTCTAGGTGACCAGAAATTCCGTGAGCTATATCGGGATTTAATGTGGTGGTTGGTACATGGAACGTTCGAACAATGTGGGAAACCGGGAAGACCAGTCAAATAGCAATGGAAATGAGGAGATACAACTTAGCAGTACTGGGAATCAGCGAAACCCACTGGACCCAAGCTGGACAGAAAAGGCTAGCTACGGGAGAGATGCTGCTATACTCCGGTCACGAAAGGACAATGCTCCACACACTCAGGGAGTCGCTCTTATGCTGTCCAAAGTAGCACGAAATGCACTTGTAGGATGGGAGTCTCACGGATCCAGAATCATCAAAGCATCATTCAAAACAAAGAAGGAGGGGATCTTAATGAATATTATCCAATGTTATGCACCCACCAATGATAGCAACGACGACATTAAAGATCAGTTCTACGAGCGGCTGCAGTCAATCATTGAGAAATGCCAAGAAAGGACCTAACTATTCTGATGGGAGATCTAAATGCCAAAGTCGGAATAGACAACACCGGATATGAAGATATCATGGGACGACATGGACTGGGACAGAGAAACGAAAATGGAGAAAGATTTGCAAATCTATGTGCATTCAACAAATTGGTCATAGGAGGCACAATATTTCCACACAAGCGTATACACAAGGCTACATGGATCTCACCGGACCACACTACAGAGAACCAAATAGATCATATTTGCATCAACAAAAAATTCCGAAGGACAATGGAAGATGTGAGAACCAGGAGAGGTGCTGACGTAGCTTCAGATCACCACCTAGTTGTAGCCAATTTAAAACTGAAGCTAAAAAAGAACTGGACAAGTGGACAAACAGCACTACAAAGGTTCAATACAGCCTTCCTTCGAGATACTGACAAACTCAATGAATTCAAGATAGCTCTCAACAACAGGTTCCAAGCCTTACAAGATCTACTGAAAGAAGAAGAAACTAGTATGGAGGACAACTGGAAAGGCATCAAGGAAGCATTAACTTCAACGTGTCAAGAGGTTCTGGGCCTAAAGAAACACCATCATAAGGAATGGATCTCTATAGAAACACTGGACAAGATCAAAGAAAGGAAGAACAAGAAGGCAGCAATTAACAACAGCCGAACACGAGCAGAGAAAGTCCAAGCACAAGCTGAATACATAGAAGCAAACAAACAAGTGAAGAGGAGCATTAGAGCCGACAAGAAGAAATACGTGGAAGAACTAGCAACGACGGCAGAAAAAGCTGCTAGAGAAGGAAATATGAAACAGCTTCACGATACAACGAAGAAACTAGCAGGGAAATACAGTAAACCAGAGAGGCCGGTCAAAGACAAAGAAGGCAAGCCAATCACCGAAATTCAACAACAGCGTAACAGATGGGTAAATACTTCGAGGAACTCCTGAATAGGCCGGCTCCAATGAATCCACCGGACATCGAAGCAGCACACATAGATCTTCCTATAGATGTCAACCCACCAACGACGGAAGAAATTAGAATGGCCGTCAGACAAATCAAGAACGGGAAAGCAGCAGGACCCGACAACATACCAGCTGAAGCACTGAAATCAGACATCGAAGCAACCACAAGCATGCTTTACCTTCTATTCAAAAAGATTTGGGAGGAGGAACAAGTGCCGATGGACTGGAAAGAAGGACACCTCGTCAAGATTCCAAAGAAAGGAGATCTGAGCAAATGTGAAAACTACAGAGGCATTACACTACTGTCAATACCAGGGAAAGTCTTCAACAGAGTGTTGCTGAACCGGATGAAGGATGCAGTAGACGCCCAACTTCGAGATCAACAAGCTGGATTCCGTAAGGATCGGTCGTGCACAGACCAAATTGCAACACTACGGATCATCGTCGAACAATCAGTTGAGTGGAACTCATCACTATACATCAACTTCATTGATTATGAAAAGGCATTCGACAGTGTAGATAGGAGGACATTATGGAAACTTCTTCGACACTACGGAGTTCCTCAGAAGATTGTCAACATTATCCGGAACTCATACGACGGACTACAGTGCAAAGTAGTGCATGGAGGACAGCTGACAGATGCATTCCAAGTAAGGACTGGAGTCAGACAAGGCTGTTTACTCTCTCCCTTCCTCTTTCTTCTGGTGGTCGACTGGATTATGAAGACCTCGACATCTGAAGGAAAACACGGAATACAATGGACAGCTCAGAATCAATTAGACGATTTGGACTTCGCAGACGACCTAGCCCTCCTATCACGTACACACGAACAGATGCAGATGAAGACAGCCAGTGTAGCAGCAGTCTCTGCATCAGTAGGCCTCAGCATACACAAAGGGAAAACCAAGGTCCTCAAATTCAAAGCGGAAAACAGCAATCCAATCACTCTTGATGGCGAAACTCTGGAAGATGTAGAGTCCTTCACATACCTGGGAAGCATCATCGATGAACAAGGAGGTTCAGATGCAGACGTAAAGGCGAGGATCGGCAAAGCAAGGGTCGCATTCCTACAATTGAAGAACATATGGAACTCAAAACAACTTTCAACCAATATCAAAGTGAGAATCTTCAATACGAACGTCAAGGCAGTTCTACTGTATGGAGCTGAAACTTGGAGAACTACAACAACCACAATCAAGAAAGTACAAGTATTTATAAATAGCTGCCTACGCAAGATACTCAACATCCATTGGCCGGATACCATCAGCAATAGCCTTCTGTGGGAGAGAACAAACCAACTTCCAGCTGAAGAAGAAATTAGGAAAAGACGATGGAAATGGATAGGACATACATTACGCAAATCGTCAAACTGCATCACGAGGCAAGCCCTAACTTGGAACCCTGAAGGGAAGCGAAAAAGAGGAAGGCCAAAGAACACATTGCGTCGGATAATAGAAGCAGATATGAAAACGATGAATTACAACTGGACGGAGCTAGAAAGGATTGCCCAGGACAGGGTTGGATGGAGAATGCTGGTGAACGGCCTATGCTCCTTCACGAGGAGTAACAGGCGTAAGTAAGTAAGTTGGAAGTTGTTGACGGGGAACTCTATCTACCACCGTATCAGCGAGTGCTTCGAGACAAGTGATGATTTTACATGCGATATGTGTGTCCCAACCACCTTAATCAACATAGGTTTACACCATTATTAACCGAATTCCCATTTTAAACTGGGCGTTAATGCAGATCAATTTTGAAGCAAAAGTTTGTATCTAATGGTCGGAAAAACGTATCTCAATTGTTTTACTGTTACTTAAAGCATTTAGAAGACTGTATTTTGTTAATGTCTCAATCAAATAAAACTGCGTCATCTTCACACTATAAGACAACATATCAATCTTTTATTAAACCATTCTGTATAAAACAAACGAAACATTTGCTATCTCTGAAACCACAGCTAAAACAGAACTAAGTTAAATCACGAAAGTGGGTAGGCCTGAGGAACATTGAATATAACGCAGATAAACACGTGGTTGCATTAGAGCACTGACTCTGAAAATCCTATATTGTACCAAAAATATAATATTGAATGAAGCCATTAATGATGACAATAAATATGACTGACAGAGACGTGGTTTCTGTGTCTGCCTTGTCTGTAGTTACCAGGTGAAACAATACTTTAATTTATGCCTAAAATCGGTTTTTATTTTGTGAGTGGTTTATTATATGTTTAGACTACACAGTCGGGAGATCCGACCCAAATATCAGTCGATTTGTGATGTGATGAGACTATCATTTAATGTCATGAATGATACTTATCTTACCATTTGGTACATCATAACTTTATCGATTCTGAGTTCATAGTTCCGTGTAGAACATCGTTAAATGACTGCAAACTAGAATGAGACAACTGTTTATCACTTCCTATTTCTTAATTTTTCTTTGACTTATATATTGGTTTACGGTGTAAAACCAACTTGTTGAAATTAAACAATATTCATATACCACATACATATTAATCAGAAGTTAAATATTTAAAAGAATGTAAATATCATTTACATACAGATAGATTTGCTCCACCTTCGCCACATTCATAATCTAAACCGGCATTAGTCGACCGAACCCAATCAGTTAAATGAGCAGATTCTATTGCACGCCATAAATCGATATCAGGCAGTTTACCAAATGGATCTAAGTTAAACCGAAGTGTACCAGCAAAAATTATCGGTTCCTAAAAAATAAAATGAGATAAACATGTAATGTAACCATTGCACCAGGAAATAAAAAGAAATTACCGACCTTTGAAATGTATCAAGTGTACTATCGAATATTGAATGTCACGCTGACCATTACATTTGATAGTGTAGCTTAAAAATAAAGTGTAGATAAACTTAAGAGACAGAAAGATATAGAATAGAAGACAGAATAAATACTTAAAGAGAAATAAGTAGCACCGAGTATACAAATTTTAATTCTTACCTGTGGAAGAATACTAAATCGGGATCGAAGTTCATGAAGGCCAATTCGTGACAAATCAACTCCATCAACAAGAATTGGACCACGTTTAGTTGATGTTCTATGTATATCTAATCTATCTTCTTCTAATATCGTAGGCTCGATTAAACGAAAGATACTAGATGCTAAAGATGATTTGCCTGCTCCAGTACGACCAACAATTCCTATACGGCGTTCTTGTGGATTACCACTTAATTTAAGATCAATAGATTTCAATGCTGTAACTAATCGTCCAGAATTCGATGCTTTTTGACCAAGTGATAAGTCATGATTATCAGTTACTTTGTTCTTTGTAGGCAAATGATATTGAACAGTAGCTTTGTTAAATGTGATTTCACAACAAGGTCTCGGCCAATCAATTGGAGGAGGACTATCCACTCCATGATCCCAATCAGCTTCCTGTTCAACCTGGAAAAAATAATCAAATGGGGAGTATTATGTTCAAAGGTAGATGGAATGGAAACAAATAGTATACCATTAAAATTCAGATTGTATAACGTTTCAAAATTTGATGTGTATTATTCTGTAGAACTCTATCAATCAAGACAGATTCCTTTACAGATTTTCTTCTAATTAACTAATATGAAGTTATGTAATAAGAAATGTGAATTTATATTATGAAAATATCTACAACTTCTTATTCATGGCTTCACTTCATTCTCATGCAACTTTTCACAAACAAGTTTACTAACTGTTAGTTCAACATTATATTCATGTTAGAATGTAGAACATTTAATATAAGGATTTGGTGTTCATTTTAAAAATTACAATTTCGTTTCACCATTCTATGTAATATAAGCATGCAAGTGTCAGTGGTAGATATTAGTACAGAGCAAATACTTTCAGTTCAGTATATTTATATTACGCAAGGCAATTTAGTCTATTAATGTTATAAACTGTATACATCCATTAATTTCAAGTATGATTCCAAGTAGTTTCAAGTAATCACCTGATGATGAGAAAAGTAAATCACATGTATGTCAATGTATTTAGACCGTTTTTGAGTTATTTGTGGTGTATAAATAAAAATTTTCATCGTCAGTCTTACTTACTTTATTATATCAAATCGTTTCAGTTTTTGCTTAGTAATAATAAGAAGCCATTTTACCTCAGTCATGCCAATGTCTTGTTTCAGTTACAATAGTATACAATATACAATATATTAGGAAGACTAAAATAAATTCGACGCTATATCTCTAAATTTGTGAAACAAATAACTAGTAAAAAGAATGGATAGCGACCATGAAAAGATGAAAGATCTAAGTATGAGTAGTGATGGCATGTTTTTTTCCGTTAGTGGTGACCAAATCAAAACGTTCGAAAGAATACTATTTCACACATTAGAGATTCATAAAAAAACGATAGAAATATTAGGAGTTAACGTTAACCACATACCTCTTTCGTGTGATTTTCCGAAAAAGATATTTTCTTAGAATATAATGTGTTATCTTCTACGGGGGAGATTTGTAGTGTCTGGTAATATGACAAGCGCGTATGGGTTGTTCTAGCTTCCAAATAGGCCGATTTACTTATTTGTCTTCAATCACGTTTCGACCTTATCAATTATTTGCTTATTAACCTTAACTGCTTTTATATGAGCGTATTTGTGTGCCTCACTAACCATATTCATCACAAATCTCCAGCGTATTTTGTTTAGCTAAAAATATTGAGTGACGCTTTATCAAATGGAGTTATCATATTTGTCTTCTACGGTCTGTTTCACCGCTCTAGTTCTCTTATTGTCTGTCTGGGGTAACGAGTATATGAATTCAGTGGATAATAATGTATGAATTTAGGTGGCACCTATAGTTCGTTAACATTATCACTCAATCGAATCGGAATCAGATCAAAGAGCCACAAAATGCAAAACAAGAATATTCAAAATGGTTAAAACACTGGAAATTATTTAAATGAAAGGAAAAAGAAACAGCTGTTCACTTCCTCCTTGATTAAAACTAACAATATCAGGTGAAAATTACAAACTATACGATATTTAACAAGGTTGAATGAATATTCACTTATCACTGAAATCATGAACAGATAAGTTAGACCACCATTACAAGCATGGAAGCACTGGATTACGTTTCGTCCTAGTGGAGGACTCCTCAGAAGATCCCATCCACGAGGATCGAACCCAGGAGCTTCGGTCTCACGCACGAACGCTTAACCTATAGACGAATGAGTCGGCACCCAACGATATCTAACCTTAACTAATCGGTTCATGATTTTAATGAAATCCAACAATCTCTACAACCACAAACTTTCACATTTATAAAAACAAATATAACTCTCAGTGAAAAAGTAAGTTTTGAAATAACTTTTATTGTTAATTATTAAATACCCGACCGTTGTTGCTACCTTGACGTGGTGGTCGGGCTTGCCTATCGTGATGAAGCAACCGAGCTATACTGGCTGGAACAACCGTTCCTCAAGGTCCTACCATGTCAGACAGGTCGGTTGAAGAGCGGTAAGACTAAAAGCAACAAACCCAAGGTCCGAAGGCGAAGTCGTACTGCTGACTGTACAGAGGTGTGACAGCAGTAAGGTGTTTCCTTCAGACAACCAGCATGACAGCGATGCTGCCTTCCCACAAGGAGGGGTGGGGTTAGAAAAGGTCGACCCTAAAAATGCACACCTCACCTTACCTCACGGATTTCCGTCTCCGGCGGTAAGGCCCTTTGAAGAACGGAGCTAACACGTCAAAAACCTCTCACGAAAAGGCCGTGCGCGACCGGCCTCAAGCAGTTGTCCCTTGGGCACTGCGGTCACGCTCTCAGGTCACTGAGACCACCTCTAATCCAATTTCCTTTTCAGGTACCTCCAGAAGAACCCTTCCACGGTGTGGGCAACCGGGAAGTGATAACCGCCCTCATACCTCTAACAGCACTCAAGACCACTGTATTCATAATCAACCTTCCTCTTCAATTCCTATTATTCCTCCTACATCGACTTTCAACCCTAAACTTCCTCCTTCGGCTTCCTCCTCAAGTGTCACCATAGCCAACGATTCTAGTGCTCAAAACCCTGTCCCAGGTCTACTGAAACCTCGCTCCAAACTACACATTGGAGCCTTCAACGTACGCACCCTATGTCAAATCGGTCAGCAGGCTTCCTTGGCTAAAACCCTAGAGTCTCTTTCCATTGATGTATGCTGTGTCTCCGAAACACGCATACAGGATTCCAGTGTGGTCATTCACTTGACCTCACCTCGGCAAAACGGAGAGCCAACGAGATACACCCTTCGTGTATCTGGTGACCCGATGGCCAGTTCTCGTGGACTGGCAGGTGTAGGCATAGCACTAAGCATGAGGGCGGAACAAGCACTGCTAGAGTGGATCCCCGTCAACAGTCGTCTATGTGCTGTTCGGCTAAACGGCTCCGTAAGAACTCGGAAGGATAGGGACACACGTCGTTGCCTTTTCGTCGTTTCTGCCTACGCTCCCACTGACTGCAGCTCAGATGAAGTGAAAGATGAATTTTACAGAAAGCTTCTGAACTTCTTCAGAAAGCTAAACGCTCAGACATAGTACTCGTAGGGGGTGACTTTAATGCTCAGATAGGTAGCTTAAACCAAACAGAAAGGCATTTAGGTGGATATTTTAGTATTCCGGCACAGCGAACAGATAATGGTGATCGTCTGCTGCAACTGTGCTCAGACAATCGTTTATTTTTAGCAAACACAAATTTTAAGCATAAGGAGAGACATCGTCTAACATGGCGACCCCCTACACCAAACCAACGATGGACTCAAATAGACCATATTGCCATCAGTCATCGTTGGAGAGGGTCGGTAGAAGATTGTCGCTCATTCTGGAGTACCTGCTTGGACTCCGACCATGCCCTAATACGGGCACGCATCTGCTTGCGCCTCACTGGACGCAAAAAAGCCACATTAAAAAGACCCATTAGAACTGAGTTGAGTAACGAGAAAACCAAAAGTAGGTTCCAGGAACAACTGAGGTCACACTTAGGTAGTTCTGAAGACGAGGCTGACCCAGATGTTGCTTGGAAAGACATACAAGCAGCTGTGGAAACAGCAGTGACATCTATTAGTGACTTAAACCACAGAGTTACAAAGAACCAGTGGATTTCTTCAAAGTCTATCACACTGATGGATTCTCGCAAACTCGTCCCATCAGGTTCCGAACATGATGAAGAGCGACAACAAATCAGATCTAGGTTAAGAAAAAGTCTAAGGAACGACCGTGAGCAGTGGTGGGCAACGAAAGCAAAAGAGATGGAAAAGGCGGACAAAAAAAAAAAAAAAAAAAAGCTTTACAGACTAATAAAAGAAACTGGAATTAATAAGTCAAGTGTAAGTGAGATTATTTCGGAAAAAGACGATACTCTCATCTGCTCCCAGTCCAGACGTTTAGAACGATGGGCGGAACATTTTAGAGAACAGTTCAGCTGGCCTTCAGCTACTCTACAACTACCCTCCATTCCCAGACAGTGTGAATGGAACATTGAAGTAGGTCCCCCAACTCTTGCTGAAGTTCAAAAGGCTATAGTTAATCTGAAACGAGGAAGGGCAGCTGGTCCAGATGGACTGGCTCCAGAAGTCTTTAAGGATGGTGGTCCAATTTTAGCGATTAGGTTGACTAATATTTTAGCTAAGATCTGGGAATTAGACGTTATCCCATCTGACTGGTCACAATCACTTATCGTCCCAATATATAAGAAAGGGTCAAAATCATCCTGTGACAACCACAGAGGGATTAGTTTAACTAATATAATATCTAAAATACTAGCCTCGATAATTATCAGACGCCTAACTAAGACTCGTGAACTGCAAACACGAGAGAACCAAGCTGGCTTCAGACCTGGTCGTGGCTGCATCGACCACATATTCACCATTCGTCAGATTCTAGAACACAGGCATACTTATCGGCGTCCGACAATGGTGGTCTTTCTCGACTTAAAAGCAGCATTTGACTCGGTAGACCGCGAGATTCTGTGGCAGTGTCTGTCATTGAAAGGCGTACCTCAGAAGTACATAAACCTTGTGAAGGCTCTTTACTCGAACACTACTAGTCGAGTCAGGCTTATGGCGAACTGTCATCTACTTTTGCAACCTCAAGTGGTGTCCGTCAAGGCTGTCCACTTTCCCATTTTTGTTTAACTTCATCATAGACCTATTGATGGAAACAACATTCTCGTCGACTGAATTCTCGGGTATTGATCTCCTTCCAGGAGGTCCACTTATCGACTTAGAATACGCAGATGACATAGTCCTGTTTGGTGAAGACGCTGACAAAATGCAGAGTCTTTTGGTAGCACTAAGCAACAATGCCAGAATGTTTGGAATGCGCTTCTCTCCCTCTAAATGCAAGTTGTTGCTTCAGGACTGGTCTGCGTCAACACCTGAACTAAGGATAGGGAGTGAAGTAGTCGAACGCGTTGACAACTTCACTTATCTTGGAAGTCTGATCAGCCCTAATGGGTTGGTGTCTGACGAAATCTCAGCACGGATTCGAAAAGCTCGTTTGGCTTTTGCCAACTTACGTCACCTTTGGCGAAGGCGAGATATCCGTCTATCAATAAAAGGACGAGTATACTGCGCGGCAGTCCGTTCTGTTTTACTTTACGGCAGCGAAACATGGCCATTAAGAGTAGAAGACACTCGTAAGCTACTAGTATTTGACCACAGATGCCTTAGAAATATTGCTGGCGTCTGCTGGGATCACCGGGTAAGTAATAGTGAGGTTAGACGCAGGGTATTAGGGAATGATGGTAAATCAGTTGATGAGGTTATGAATCTTCATCGACTGAGATGGTTGGGCCACGTGTTACGTATGCCTGAACACCGATTACCACGACGTGCAATGCTATCCGGTATTGGAGATGGTTGGAAGAAAGTTAGGGGCGGCCAAACCAAAACGTGGCATCAGTGCTTGAAGTCACTAACTTCTAGTCTGAGCCATGTTGGTAGATGCAGACTACTTGGTTGGGGTCCGCGTGACTATCGTAACCAATGGTTGGAGACTCTTGGTGACATGGCTCAGAATCGATCACAATGGCGTCGGTGTATACACTCCCTGTCTTCCCTTAAACTAAGAGATTAAAATCGCTTCATATCTTTCTTTCTACGAACCAATTCTTTCTTCTTGTACTATATCGCTATATGCAATCTTTCTCTTATATATTACCACCTTTGACCTAACCACTGCTATGAATCCGGTGTTCATCTTGTTGTGCTGATGCGGTATGGCAACCTGGACCGATGCACATATGTGCCTGGTCCTACGTTGTAGCTGACTGACTGAATTAATAAATAATTAAAAATTCCATTCACACAAAAGAAAAAAAATGTAACTACTTACTCGGATGTATTCACATATTCTTTCCAATGAAACAGAACTTGTTTCCAATTGAGATAACTGTTTAATAACCCATGTTAACGAATCAAATACTTGTAGAGCATAAACTATGATTAAGCCAGCGATACCAGGCGATATTTTTGATCGAAAAACAACCAAAATTACAGCACATACAAATACCATAAGGCTACAAGATAACTGGAATTTAAAATAAAAATTCACAAAAATACAAATATTTTGATATAAATAACAACTTAAGCCCAAAATAAAACCGAGTTATAAGAGAAATGAAAACAAGATATCTGGGTGGAACGCGTTAATGATTTACAAAAAAAGGCTGGGTTATATATAAGTTATGATAATTTAAGTTACTAATGAATAAATAAAACTCACTGATATTGCTTAACATATTATGAAGTTATGAAACAGATTTGTGGTTTTAACTGAAACAAACGATCATTTGATCTTTACTGATGTGTAATATTAATCTGTGTCCATTTCGCTATCATATTAAATGACTTCAATGGTATAAATGTCATTTGTGAAACGCCAATAGATGAGATCATTAGTCCATGTATGCGACACTGATACTAGTCTACAGCTGAGAATTTAGTAAACAGAACTTCATGATTTAATTCATTTTTGCATTGGTTGTTTGAATCATTCCATTGATGTTGAGGACTGCAATTGATCAGTGTCATATTGGCATATAAGTGAACATCAACTCTAGGATTCAGGTACATCCAGCTGACGAGCCTAATTAGGACGAGACGCGCGTCCTGGATTCTACTGCCACCCACTTCTGCTTAGAGCTTCATTGTTATTTTTTACTTAGTAAATGCAGGCTTTGATTAAAATCACATTGAGTGTAGTAAATACTGTTATTATTATCACTAGTAATAATAAGTATTATTGATAGCTTGTATGTGACACAAATCCCAAAAATTCCGACAGTCATATATCAAACAAGAAAATATTTCCCACATACAAAAACATTATCGATTTATTTCCTTATGCAAAGGACACTAGCTAATTACTGATTTATAACGATGCAGTGAAATCGAGTAGCGGTAGTTCCTGTGTGAAATGTACATGACATAAGCATGTGCTCTTAAGAAACGATTCTCACTAACGAGGGTAGATTGACATTGCAAATTATAAGGTAGTAATAATTACTGTTACTGGCTGACTCTAGCTGGCAAACCATTAGAAAACAGGAAACATTAGAAAGATCCTCATTTGTGGCCAGTGACTACCTGGACACAGCAGACAAGTTGATGACACATTGGCATTTAAAGATACCGGAATTGATCCCGGAGTGAACATCAACTGTAGAATGCAGGTAAGATCGGATGCCAAGTCCAAAATAGGACGAAACGGGCATCCTAAATCCCATTGTTAGCCGCCCTCAATCTCTGCTCAAAATGCTTGTGATCTAATGGAAATAACGAGGCAACCCGCACATGCCAAAATAGAATAATCAATTCCAGTCCCAAACATCAGTGGGAAGAAAATTAGATTTTCTACTCATTGGGATATTACAAATATATTATTTTTATTTATAAAAATCAACCCAATGCTCAATTTATTCGAAATTATCAAATCAAACCTTGGTAATGATACCTATCAGTGGGAAGATTCAAACAACCAATATATATATATATATATATATATATATATATATATATATATATATATATATATATATATATATATAGTAGTTTAGAAATCTCCAGTTTTAAAAATGCGCCCACAAACTTTAGACCTCAAGACAAGAATTACGTTTAAACCATTGATACAATAAACCACATTTTCAGCATGAGTCGGTCTGCAAAGTAGACCGACAACCACTCAATTTCGTCGATGAAACCTGATACACTCACAGCATAGTTTGCATTGACCTATCATACAAGGCGTCTGTGACAAGTATCTTAAAGTTATCAATCTGTACATTTTACATATCGTTAATAGAAAAAACCATGTTTAGATTCTGGACAAAAACTAAGCTTAAAGTACAGATATTAGAATATATGCGACAATGATGATAAAAAAGGAAAAGAAACTAACATTTAGATGAACATCTAGCCACCGGTTAGCAACAAAGCGTACATATTCGAAAACCGCGTTAGCATCAATCAATTTATCAGATTTAGCAATAAATTCTTTATCACGTTTAAATGCTCGAACAACAGTGACACCTAAAGACGAAGCTGACGTTTCACTATAATTGGTTAACAATGGTGAACGAGTATTTGCATCCAATCGACGTGTTTGTCTAACAGAAGGCATATAAAATATTAAACAGTTATGCAAAATATAAATACAGGAATAATCACTGCCAATCCTATTCCAAATGGACGTAGAGTAACAGAAACAATCACTAGTGAAATAACAACATCTCCAGTAGTCCCGATGGTATCACTAAATGAGTTCGGTATGGTATGATCTAAATTGTCAACATCATTACTGAATCGATTCAATATACGACCTAAAGGTGTGTGATCAAAGAAACTAGCTGGGGCGTGAAGAATTTTCGATAAAAGCTGTTGATGTAATAGCTACAAAAGAGATGAACAAGAAAGTTATTTATCAACATTTCAATCTTAAGCATCAAGTCAAAATTATGACGAGAAAAAAAGTGTATTCAAAAAATGAATTGTATTTAATGTCAATGTAAATATTTCCTTAGTTTCATATTCATTTAAGATAACAAAAATTCTAGTAAGCTTTCGTGTAAGTAGTACTCGATAGATCATGTTTCGACGTTATGAAAAAGAATCTGATTTCATTCAAGATACGTTCAATGAAATGTATCAAACTGATAGCTAGTTATATACATAGGAGAGAACGTATGGTTACACATTCATCTGCAGATTCTAAATTATGTAATTTTTTGGATTTTAAGGTAGGAATCTCCATCTTTCAAATTTGTAGTTCCATTGAATTTAAAAGCAATACCTTTCCTTCATTTCTAGTCGCGATGCCTGGTTTGGTAGCGCTATTAATTAACGGTCGGAATTAAACGTAAAACGTTTCGAGAGCATTGTAATCATTATACCACTCCTTAATCATTGAATCAAAACCTATTAAGCCTAAATTTTTAAAAATTACCTCAATCATAATGTGAAATGAGCATTCACTAAATAAATTTATGATAAAATGTCCTGACAATAGCACGAAAGAGAGATCAGTAAACCGATGATATATATATATATATAGGGAAAGAGGAAACTTACATTTGAAGCTCTCAGATTAGAATACGCATTAAGTAGCGCAAATATTAAGATTAACACCGTCTGACCTAAACCAGCCCATGCATAACCTATAATATAATATAATATTCTATCTTTAATCTGTTCTATTAATATCTGACGAGCAGTTTCATTACTAATTATAGTAGTATTTTGAAAGGCTTGTTCAGCTTCAATCAATTGTTGGTCATCTGCAAACCATTGTAACCAATAACTACAAAATGCCTGCCGAAAATAAAAACCACGAAAAGAAGAATTAACCATGAAAAACTGAGTATATATATATATATAGTATAGTATAGTTTCTGTAATTTATCTACTGTGTATTCAATGGATTGCAGTTATTAGTGAAGTACAATTGAAATAATCAGTTCTATCAATAAGTTATATTAACTCTAATCGATTTTTCAAGGAAATCTAATTAAAAATCAATCGTATGACAAGTACGATAGTCACTGGCTCTGATGGATTATAATTATTCAGCTAATCAGTAACATGTAATACAGAACCGATGACATGTGTACATTCTATTCAAGTTGCCATAACCTTCCAAAACACAAAAAAAACGAAATTTTCAGAGCGAGAAATTTCAATGTGATAGAGCTAGTAACAGTATTAGAGGTAGCAGGAAAGGATGTAATTCAAAACAATATGGATTGGTGGAATAAAAACTGATAAGGTAATTTAGAAAATCAGGACTTAAGGGAAGAAAAAAAGATAATACGCTTGTACCATTGCAAACGATTCACAGCCATGTTATCCAAAGTCACTAACTTTGGTTACGATAAGTACACAGGCCCCAACCAGATTGTCAGAGTCCATCAATATGGGTCAGTAACAGTGTGTTTATGGACTGATGCTATTGCCTTGATTTGGTCGGGATATATATTCTTTAGAAGTTGTTCAAGAAAACAGATATAAATTTCGTAGTGTTTACAATTCATCCTTTGATCAATTTTTATATGGAGATCATTCACCAAAATATATTAAATTCAGGCAGTTTTAGAAAGCCCTTGCGTTTTTGTGACAATAAAAATTTCGTCATTACTTCGCTCTTCTACAGTAACAAAAATATGGCAGTTACGATAAGTGTGGCTATTTCAATACTATTATGACTGATTTTTATATTTCAATATGATCCCTGAAAGTTGGAGGAAATCAGACGAAATCCAAAACTTGAGTTTTGTACTATAAAATAGTTGTCAGTAGTGTTTATCTGTAATATTAATGGAACCGATAAAGCGAATCCACATGACTCAACGTCACAGTCACAGTTATTACTTGTCTATTGAGACCACTTTATATGTAATGTGCCCATTATATTTTGTATAAGATTCATCTGTTGAAAAAAATTTACTAATCAATATTACAATAAAAAGTAAACATAAGAAGTATAGGAGGTTCATGAAGATTGTTCGCGACTTGTAGTTTAAATCGTGTATAGACATTAACTGAAAAACCATATAAAAACCAGGGGCACTAAACAGCTCTTTCCTTCAAGTATTCGACTCATCAAGTGTGTAACGTATATGGAAGTCGAACTCAGAACTCCACAGTGACAGCTTAACATCTAAATCCTGAGATTGGTATTCGATGGTTTATATTTCTAAAAAATAGTCAATTCGTGATTTGGTGAGACCATCATTCGTTCCGATTGATGATAGTTACCTCACCCCAGAAATCGTTGGACTCCAATGGTTACGGTTTTTCACCAAACCTCCTGGAGTTTCTACCGATATTAGCAACTATTGAGGACATGATTATTAGTAGTGTAGAAGGACGACATAGTTACTCAATATTTGCTAGCTTTGAATATTTGTGTAGTTTATGAGTTCATGATGTGAAATACAGAATGACCAGCGGCTTATAACATGACTGTTCAGGGCAACAAAATTTGAAACTCACCTGTACACCTAAGAATCCCACATAAGACAGAACACTGATAAACGTTACAGATACACTCCGAGCACGGAAATACTCCCAGTAGGCTGACCACGATACATGACCGTGCATAATTTCTTCATCAGTCATGAATTTTCCATGTTCAGGATCATCATTTTCAAATTTATTATCATCTGATGTGCTAGCATTCAAATCTGTAATACTTATGCTAGTTGGAGAACGACGATGAGTCACCTCCTGCTCAGATCTAAAATCGATCAAATCATTTAATGCTTCACCAGTAGGCATTATCTGAATGGTCCCCGGAGAGAAATTTGATACAAAAAAATGTAAAACAGAAAACCAAAGGAAGAATTACAGTAACACATAAAATGTTTAGGTTGATAATTATATTTCTGAAAAGCACAGTTATCCTATGTTTCCATTTCCCAGGTCAAACACTAATAAATTTATGTATTCAAAATCAAAACAGCCTCGTTTAAGTGTGTGAACTCGAGTGACAGGCATGGAGTTGACGAACTGAAATAGATAGGGTGAATTCAAACCTTATAGTGGTAGGCATTAAAGGCGAGTTGACAAAAGATGTAATGTGTTAGAACAACTGTAAAGGAATAAACAAGCATAAACAGTTAGGAAATTAGGGAACATCTTTAACTGAAAACATTAATTTTGATGTTTTACTCATGAAAATTTCATTGTCTCATTGTATAGGGACATTAGCGAGAAAATGAAGTTGATAAAAATTATTTGAATATTAATGATGATAGAGTTATCTAGGAAGACAAATAAATCTTTACAATCAAAGCATCCAACTGAAACAATACAACACTTCAATAATCATCAGTTGTAAATCATAATAAACAACACCAAAGAAACTATGGTCAACCTTGTATTTCCTTCAGCTTTATTGATAATTTTAGGCATGACTCTAAAGAGCCGTTACTAAATGATTGAATGAGGTGTCACTCGGTGGTGATGTGTTGTGAAAGTTTGGACAGACGGGCAGATGACACAGGTTCTATATTGCTTATGACTGACTGAATTTACAGTTTAAATGATAGTTGCATACAAATATGATTAGTAGACTTCAACTGCGTTTACACGCGAAAATAAATGAGCAATCTTGAAAGCAAAACTTACATGCTCATTATTGTCATGCTTTGAAGCAGTATTGTGAGTAGTAATATCAGTGAAATTAATGGGTTTTAAAAAGGAAACAGATGATTCTAGGGATAATTTTTTTGTTGCATTCAATGGTGGACTTCGAGACAAAATTCCGATAGGATGATTTGAACTACGCGGCTAAATTAAACGAATCAATCAAGAAATAAATCATATGATTAATGATATGGAATATTGTCCAATCAGTTTGTTAAAGAAATCATAAAATATATAATCAATTGGATATATTAGGATTAATCCAGAAGTAAGCTAGTAGAACAGTAATTAATTTATAAGATGAACTGAAATTTAATCGCAGTTTAATTATTTGAAGAAAGAAAAGTGTCTGAATACGAATAATGAATGTTATTCTATTCGTACAGATTGTAATTAAATTGATTGAATCCACGAGTCGATCTAAGCTAGACCACCATCGGAAATCTGGAAGCACTGGAGAGCCGTAACGTTTTAGTATGGGACTCCCTAGAAATGTACATCTACGATCCCGCATGTGGGACTCAAACTCAGAACCTTCAGTCTCGCGCGAGTACACTTAACCTCTAGATCACTAATCAAGTGAAACAGCTTTCTTTTGGAGTTTGTTAAGAATAACCAACAAAATACAATGAATTCATCGTATACAGCAAACACTTTCTTTTTTAATTTATTTAAATTAAGATGAATTGAACTGAAATGTAATTTAACAAAAAACAAAATAATATTTTACCACAAAAGTCGAGTGGATTAGTGATTATTTGTTTATAAAAACAATTACTTATTGAACAATGACGGAATAACTGGTAGAAACCAGTAAAATTATCAAAGTTCAATTCTGCGTACATTCATAAAAAAACAGAGAGAATATGAAGAAAATATATATGAGTGTGCACTCCTACTGAAAAGCAATTCGAAACGAGGATAAAACATCTGTTCGACAAAACCGGTTTTTTCAATCGATGTCAATATCCTGATGAAATACTAACTTTAAATGCAAATGGAGTTCGTCAATCTTAAATTTACTTACAATTCAAGGTTTTATAACAACTAACAGGGTACCAGTGTGAATTATGGATGCAATAAACATTGTAGGTAACATCAATAAACAGAAAATAGTGCGATAAAAAAGACTGAAAAACATAAGCAAATCCATTCATAATGAAATATTATCGAACAAAATAACTAGTGATAAGCATAAAAAGTTTTTTTATATTTTCGTGATTTATTATTTATTTATTAGAACACATAAACATTGGTAGAAAGGGACAACAAAAACATATGCGCCACAGAATAACAATGAGAATATAAAGTGAGCACAATAAAAAGGAGAGCAACAACGAACAGAAATTAGTGTATGATAGTGAAATAATAATAATAATGGAAGAAACAATTCAGTTAGCAAATGTACAACTAGAAAGAATTATTCCAGTTAAATAAGTTACGTCCACTTCCAATGAAGAATGTAAAAGAAAAAATACACCAGGATTGCCACTGGCTTCCATTCTCATCCATATCTCATAACCTATCTACCCAATGTGTTGTACAATTTATAGCACCCAAACAAGAAAGTCGTGAACCACCAACAAAACACAGTTCTCTACAGCTCTCTTTCATACCACAACACCATGTCATACACTGAACACCTCCACTTCTTCTAACCACTACCAACGTAGGTAAGTAATACACGATGTGAAATTCTCTGGGACAACATCCGTAGCACATGACCAAGCCACCGAATCCGATGTTTCAAGATGGTCACACCAACACATTTGTCGTCTCTGCACACGAACATCCGCATTATTAGCATGGTGTTGCCACTAGATGTCATCAATCCTTCAGAGATTACGATCATCAAACACAGAGAGTCGTCTAACATCCTCAACTCCAACAGGCCAGCTTCAACAACAATAGAGCAAAACTGCTCTCACTGACGTGTTGTAGGTCAGATCTTCTACAGCCAGACTAACATCATCAAGGCACCAATGATAGCCAACATTGGCATAAACCGCTCTAGCTTTCACTACACATTAATTGATCGCATCACTCATGCAACCGCCTGCACTTATGCACCTACCCAGATACACCATCTTCTCTACTACTTCTAGCTGCTCACTACTCAGAGTAAGTGCAGGATCAGGGTCCTGCCATTCTTGTAAAAGTACTTTGCACTTCGAAGGTGCATGACATATGTAATACCTACGGACACTGATTAAATGCGGATTTTATGAATTGAGTATCAAGGTCAAAAAGTCTTGTTCCGGTCAACGAATCCACAGTACCATTGCTTACATCTATCAGAGCTGTTTCCAGAATGTCATCGATGGTAAAGGTGAAGAGGAATGGTGAAATTGGTCAACCATGTCTAACCCCACTGCTTGAATAGAACAATGGAGAGGGATGGTTAAATGCCATCAATCTGCCTGAGGTGTTTGTATATAGGACTTAAAGATGTTTATAAACTTCTCAGGCACACACGTCTTCAATAAACAATCTAAGAGAGCAGTCCTGTCCAACGAATCGAAGGCAGCCATGATATCAAGAAACATTACGATTGTTGGCCTGTGATAAGTATGACGGTGTTCCAACATTTGGCAGAGGGTGAAGATATGATGAATACATCCCCAACCAGAACGAAAACCAACCTGTTCCTCTAGAGTCAATCGTTCTCAGGTTTTGAACAATCTAAGAAGTATGACGGAAGCCAATAGTCTGGACGCGATCGGAAGCAGACTTATCCCCCGTTAGTTGTTACAGAAACGACGTGAACTCTTTTTGAAGATATGGACAACTATAGACTCATTCCATGATATTGGAGCATTCTCTCTAACTCCCAGACCTTTACAAACAACTCAGTCAGTTCCTTAACCAGAGGGTCACCACTTTCTTTAAAAAGGGCCAGAGATAAGTCATCTGAGCCTGGTGATTTGTAGCGCCTCACGAGTTGGGGTTCCTTGCGTACTTCCGCCTCGTTAGGTAGACCAGTCATCATAGGCCAAAGAGGGCAGGACAGTCTGATCGATGTTGTCGAGGCAGCAGATCAGTTGAACTGCTCCTAGAAAAACTCTGCCCATCTTTAGAATATTATAGATAGTAAGACCAAATAAAATAAAAATGAACATGAATACGTCCAGAACATCAGTATTAATCAACTTACAACAACCACACTACATGACCGACTAAAGCGAGTTGTAAATGAAGATTTTCTATGGTTACTTTCATTCACTTTAATAAAATACAAAAAAAAGAAATGAAAGTAATAGCATGGAGTGTATAAAAGAAATAGGATTTTCAATGAGAAAAATTTGTAAGTAAATCTCACGAGAACTGAAATGGAATTTTGTCTGTAACCCAAATTATTGATTCCTTAATGACACAACACACCAGTAATTTCTGGTACAATTAAGTAGAATAAATTATAACCACATATCATTATAACATAATCAAAATAGCGTATAAATGAGAGGAAACGAAGACTAGTAGAACGAGTCATTTCTATCTATCCACCATCTTTGCTGAATTTCAAACTGATCAAATAGAATTTCCTGTGAGAAATTCCTATCAACTATCTCCCTATACAACTCCGCCTGGAAACCCTCCGGGGGCTACTTCCGGTGACAAGCCCGGATAAAGGAGGAGGGTTGGGCATCGGGTTAGCGTCCTCATCCCGTAGAAAACTAACTTGCTAAAAAAACGCTAACCAGAAAAAATTGTTAAAACCTTTTAAACTCTGTCCTGGGAGTCAGAAGGACTTCTTTTAGAAGAATTATGACGCCTCATGATGAAAGCCGAATCCCTTCGGAAGTTACGAGGCCGATGCCCCTTCTGATAACCAGAGCAACCATTTGTTTAGGTACATGGAATGTTCGTACAATGTAGGACACCGGGAGAGCCTCCCAAATTGCTGCAGAAATGACAAAATACAACCTAGAGGTACTTGGGATCAGTGAAACACATTGGACGCAAGTTGGACAACAACGACTAGCTTCAAGGGAGCTTCTGTTATACTCTGGCCATGAAGATGAAAATGCACCACATACACAAGGTGTTGCATTGATGCTGTCTAAACAAGCGCAAAATGCGCTTATAGGATGCGAATCTCATGGACCAAGGATCATCAAAACCTCCATCAATACAAAGAAAGAGGGCGTTTCAATGAAAGTCATCCAATGCTATGCGCCTACCAACGACTACAATGAAGACGCTAAAGATCAATTCTACAATAGGCTGCAGTCAATCGTCGAGAAGTGCCCAACAAAGGACCTGACCATTCTGATGGGAGATTTCAATGCCAAGGTTGGAACGGACAACACTGGATATGAAGACATCATGGGACGACACGGACTGGGAGAAAGGAACGAAAATGGTGAGAGATTTGCAAACATATGTGCCTTCAATAAACTGGTCATAGGCGGCACCATATTCCCACATAAACGCATACACAAAACCACATGGACTTCACCGGATCACACCACGCAAAACCAAATCGACCATATTTGCATCAACAAAACGTTCAGGAGGACTATAGAGGACGTGAGAACCAAGAGAGGAGCTGATATAGCATCAGATCATCACTTGCTGGTCGCCAAGATGAAATTGAAACTCAAGAAGCACTGGACAACGGGGCGGACAATATCACAAAAGTTCAATACGGCCTTTCTTCAGGATACTAACAAACTCAACAAATTCAAGATAGTCCTCAGCAACAAGTTCCAGGCCTTTCATGATCTACTCAATGGAGAAGGAACTACTGTGGAGAGCAACTGGAAGGGGATCAAAGAGGCAATCACTTCAACATGTCATGAGGTCCTGGGTCACAAGAAGCACCATCACAAGGAATGGATCACTGTTGATACACTGGATAAGATTCAAGAAAGGAGGAACAAGAAGGCAGCAATCAATACCAGTCGAACAAGAGCAGAAAAAGCCAAGGCACAAGCTGAATACACAGAAGTAAACAAACAAGTGAAGAGGAGCATCAGAACCGACAAACGTAAATATGTGGAAGATTTAGCAACGACGGCGGAAAAGGCTGCAAGAGAAGGAAACATGAGACAATTGTATGACACGACAAAGAAACTCTCTGGAAATCGCCGCAAACCAGAACGACCAGTGAAAAGCAAGGAAGGCAAGGTAATCACCAACATTGAAGAGCAACAAAACAGGTGGGTAGAACACTTCAAAGAACTCTTGAATCGACCAGCTCCACTGAACCCACCCAACATCGAAGCAGCACCCACGGACCTCCCAATCAATGTTGGCCCACCAACAATTGAAGAAATCAGCATGGCCATCAGACAAATCAAGAGTGGCAAAGCAGCAGGACCGGACAACATCCAGCAGAGGCACTAAAAGCAGACGTAGCGGCAACTGCAAGGATACTCCACATTCTCTTCAATAAGATTTGGGATGAGGAACAAGTACCAACAGACTGGAAAGAAGGACTTCTGATCAAAATACCGAAGAAAGGCGATCTCAGCAAGTGTGATAACTACAGGGGCATCACTCTTCTCTCAATACCGGGAAAAGTCTTCAACAGGGTATTGTTAAACAGGATGAAGGACTGCGTAGACGCCCAACTTCGTGACCAACAGGCAGGATTCCGTAAGGATAGATCGTGTACAGACCAAATCGCAACTCTACGGATCATTGTGGAACAATCAATTGAATGGAATTCATCACTCTACATCAACTTCATTGACTACGAAAAGGCATTTGATAGCGTGGACAGAACAACACTATGGAAACTTCTTCGACACTACGGCGTGCCTCAGAAGATAGTCAATATCATACAGAATTCCTATGATGGATTACACTGCAAAATCGTGCATGGAGGACAGTTGACAAAGTCGTTCGAAGTGAAGACCGGTGTTAGGCAAGGTTGCTTACTCTCACCCTTTCTCTTTCTCCTGGTGATCGACTGGATCATGAAGACGTCAACGTCTGAAGGGAAGCACGGGATACAATGGACATCTAAGATGCAGTTGGACGATCTAGACTTCGCAGATGATCTGGCCCTTCTATCCCAAACGCAACAACAAATGCAGGAGAAGACGACAGTGTGGCAGCAGCCTCAGCAGCAGTAGGTCTCAATATACACAAAGGGAAAAGCAGGATTCTCCGATACAACACAGAATGCACCAATCCAATCACAATTGACGGAGAAGATTTGGAAGATGTAAAAACCTTTACATATTTGGGCAGCATCATTGATGAACAGGGTGGATCTGATGCAGATGTGAAGGCGCGGATCGGCAAAGCAAGAGCAGCATATTTACAACTGAGGAACATCTGGAACTCAAAGCAACTGTCAACCAACACCAAGGTCAGGATTTTCAATACAAATGTCAAGACAGTTCTACTGTATGGGGCAGAAACCTGGAGAACTACGAAAGCCATCATCCAGAAAATACAGGTGTTTATTAACAGTTGTCTACGCAAAATACTTCAGATCCGTTGGCCGGACACTATTAGCAACAACGTACTGTGGGAGAGAACAAACCAGATCCCAGTGGAGGAAGAAATCAGGAAGAAGCGCTGGAAGTGGATAGGACACACATTGAGGAAAGCACCCATCACAAGCCCTCACATGGAATCCTCAAGGCTAAAGGAAAAGAGGAAGACCAAAGAACACATTACGCCGAGAAATGGAAATAGACATGAGAAAAATGAACAAGAATTGGATGGAACTAGAAAAGAAGGCCCAGGACAGAGTGGGTTGGAGAATGCTGGTCGGCGGCCTATGCTCCATTGGGAGTAACCGGCGTAAGTAAGTACGTAAGTATCTCCCTATATAATATCACACTTTCCAGATAATTGATTTTACAGCATATAAAAAAAACTAAATTTATTTGTTATAATTTCACCTTAGATAACCAAATATGATCATTGAAGAAACACTTAAAAGAGAATATCATTCATTGAACATGTATTCTAAATAGAATGCCACTATTCAAACAAAAAGTATCTGCGCCATCAATTAGAAAGTGATTTATTGATCGATCACAATGTTTAAAATTACAGATGAGTGCTAGATCAAAATAGAAAAAATTAGTAAACTTGTGCCCGATAAACATAAAATTTAGTTGTTTTTTTTCGGAAAAACGCTGTCTCTATGATTAATTGTTACTTTCAATGATCTCATAACGAATATAAATTACATACAGTAACTAACAAGAAGACATAGAATTCAACACCAATTGTATTGATAAAAAAAAGAAATTTATTGACAGACTATGAATTAATTAAATGGACTAGAAAACATGAAAGTAAATATGAATAAAATAGAGTTATACATTATTACTTACTTGTTTCATCATTATCTTTCTTGATAGACTCTAGATAATTAGCAAAATGACCAGAGTTATTATTTACAACCTCCTATCAGAAAAATGGTAAGAAGAACACAGAGAATGTTCTAAAGTGATGTCCAGTGAAGCAAATATTATTTCAGAGTTAATGAGATTAAAATATATGATTCAATAAAAGATAATCGGTAATGTGAACATCTGGATTACAAATAAAGATAATGTGAGTATTGAAAATTAAACAAGGCGAATATTTAATTATGGTAAAGCATTTATTTACAGATAAATATCTTAACATGGATACAGAGAAGGCTTGATTTAAAATTTCTTTCCCTGTATGGATAACCGAAATCATAAAATAGTGTTATACTCCTTTTTGATATTCCAATGAGCAGAAATTAGCATTCATGTTTGGGACTAATTATGTTTCACATCGAATCACCTTGATCAAAATAACATAAAATTGACATAACCATACCTACTTCGATTTTGACTTGAACTGATCGAAATATTCTGCCCTGTTCCTCATTACTCTTTAAACTAATGTCAATTTTAATTCAGTTACTTACTCGGTGAGACTATAATTTATAGACGAACTAATCAGATTTAAGATAACAAGTCTTGGATTTTGGCGCGAAACTCACCCATTCATTTGGCTAAATAGCATTTTGATATGATAGCTGGTGTCAGTTAGTGATAAATTTAACTCATAACCCTAATTTACAGCTGTAAATCTTAATCCTTATTCCTTAAACTTATTTATAACCCAGTACGTACGTGGACATTATCAAGGTCAATGTAGCGTCACTCAAATGTCAACCATAAATTATAGTCTCACCATTTACTCTGGAAAAGCGACTGAAACTAAATCACGAAACATTAGAAATTCTAATTTCTACACATTGGAACGAAAATGAGAAAAACTATAAAACACTGAGTATACATTTGATGTAGTCCACTGTGTCCTAACCCACCTCACGAATGAACAAACCATATTACAACAGAAATTCATGAAGATCAAAAGTATTAATAGAATATTATTATGGGATGGTGGAGAAGATTTGTAGCTCAGGTAGAAGTTTGTGCTGATGATGTCGTTCAGAAGAACGATGAAAGCTCCACGACCAAACCATCCAGCTCAGAGAACAAAACTCCACCAGAATATTATTATTATTATCAAAACTAATGCACCTGTTATCACACTATCAATTTGTACTTTTCACTTATTATGCAATCATTTTCATTGTTATCATTGACTCATAAACTACCTTGATTGTTTTAATAATTTCGTATATGCATCTAAATACCACTGTGTATTAGAGTAAAGCCTGATGAGGATCTAATCGAAACAATATTGTTCGCTTATATATGTTGTTCTGAATAGAATAAGTGTCTAAAGCGGTTAAAAAAAACTATATTAAGTGTAGTTTTAAATTATTTTCAGTTATATATAAACAAAAAAGATTTGCCTTTTTACCAAGAATTATTCAATTTCAGTGAATCAGTGATTACCAACTCAAAAACTCGAACGAATGCTCATGGACACGAATTGAAACATTTTAATCTCTTGCCATTCGAATATGAAAACACAAATCTGGGGAAGGGAATCTAAAACTATAGAGAAGCAGTATGCTATAGAAATAATGAAGCATTTAAAATGTTCTTGATGGGACAAAATTAGTAATGTAAGGCACTTCAAATAAACAGTTACATAAAACACGGACATACTGATCAAGTTATCGTTGATAATAACCGATTGAAATATCTGCATTCTGAGTAATTTAGAAGGGTAAAAATAACAAAATAAGATAATCCTTCGATAGAAAAACAATGAAGCCACTTAAGATAGCATCTTGATTACTGAATCACTTACAGGAAGCGCGAGAAGTTGAGGTAAAACTAGGAAATCCGATATCACATCATTCAGAAAGGTACTCAGACAAAGTAAGGACGATTCACCAAAAATGATGCAGATAACAAATTGATCATTAAGTAGTAACTAGTGCTGCCTAATTAATGTTCAAGAAAGAATGGATGTTTTCAATGTGAACACTAAGATACATTATTTGATGCTACATTACAAATATTACGACAAATTACATGAGAAAAACAATATTAATCAGTCTGTAACAATTTAAATTCACTCTTACATTATAACTTCCAGATTGAGTGATTTCACCATTAGTGTTAAGAACAATAATCCAATCAGCAGAAGATAGCCAATGAAATGAATTAGTTGTCATTATTCTAGTTTTATCTTTTAGAAGACCATTTGGACCTAAAACGTTATCGAATAAATGTTTCCCAACATGTGCATCGACTGCTGATAATGGATCATCTAGCAGATATATATCTGAACGCTGTTATTAAAATAAGAAAAGTAAAATAACCAAAAATATATCTCGATGTCAATAGATTTAAACAATCAAACAGAAAATTACTGATCTATAAAAAGGGTTCAAATACTGAATGGAATATTTTGAAGAACAATTAAACTCGTGCACTGGCCCAGCGATGCTCCACAGGAAACAGGCGATAATTACCAGAGAATAAGTTTATTCGAAATTACATCTGAAACACTGAATTCTACCACACGGTATGTTGTGCAAAAATCGTGAACAATCGAACTCCATTGATTACGTATTTACTCCTCATTAAATGCTTCAAAATGAGTACTTTTATTGTAGACCGACAATCGTTGTCTTTTGGCATCAATGTCAGACTTCAATATGTTGGGCAAGAAGAGTCTCTCGAACTTTATTTTAAAGAAAGATATCTGAGAATCTTATACGACAGAAGAATTACAGAGGACCTTGAAAACATACGAAATTAAAGCCTTCTATAAAACACCCAACATTCTAAGAAACGTTTTAGTTAGAATGAAAGATAAGATCCCGTTTACATTCACACAAAATTGTGTCCACAGATTAGATTGTCGATTGTGATACTCTCTACATCGGAGTCTTTCCATGAGATCTGCACTAGTGCCAAGGAGCACGTAAATTACACAGAAAGATCTAATAATCATGTAGAATCGAAAAGACTACAAATTAAGTCAGCAATACCAGTACATGTTATTTTCAATTATCAGCAAATTGATATTCCATAAAGAGGCTGCATGTTATAGGCATTACTCGACATTTACCCTTACGACTTGTCAAATCTTGCATACTACTTATTATTCTTTACTGTTCTCAATTATTCTTTCCCAGGCTTTTTAGAAAAGACTTTACTGTATTGAGGAGAGTGCTGGAGGCAGTTACCAGGGTGTGTGGCGGATTTTTTAAGATCATTGTTAATATGGTTGTGGATAGACATCTAAAATCCTGCAAAATACTGGCATGTGTTATCTTAACAGATGCTAACCATTCACTTCATTCATAACTTTCTCTTTGCATATATTCTGGTAGAACAAGACGTCAATACATTAGAATCCATGCACCCAAGCAAAGGCATAACAGCACTACAATACCATATCTAGCAAATATACTATGTGACAAACAGTTTGTTGAAGCTAACCTAATCAATAACTAGTATTCTTAAACATGTTTCTAATTAAAAAGTTGTATAGATTCAAATCATTTCATTTGACTCTAGGTAGTTTATTTACTTAATTTTATGTACATATGCATGAAGTTATTGGGTTTTTTGTAAAATACTTTGTGTCGAGAATTCTATATTGTACTAAGCACATAATATTGAATCAAGTTAATAATAATAATAATAATAATAATAATAATAAAATAATTCAGGAAGGTTTTTCTAACCACAAAGAAAGACGAGAAACCGAAGTTTCATATCATGCTAAACCCGAATGACCTCGATAGGAAAGAAGGTCTGACGACTATTCAACCAACTTGGACTATTTATCCAAACAACTACATTTGACTTTATTCATCTTCCACACAATCGACACATACACACTTGATTTTAACTTCACTACTTCATATTACAAATTATACATTTCTCATACCCACCTTCACATAAATAAACACAATGATATGTCATACATAATTATCTTGATCAAAATAATATGAACTTGACACGTTCAGATCTTTCACAGATTGAAATCATGAGTCAATTGAAGCTAGACCACTATGGAAAACCTGGAAACACTGGACGGCCGTTTCGTTCTAGTATGGGACTCCTCAGCAGTGCGTATCCACGATCCCGCACCCCGCGAGATTCAAACGTTCAGATCTATTAAGATTTTGATTGTATCAGTTTATCAGCTTCGAAAATTTATTTATTTATTTGTGATCTAATAATAAGCTTTTTTATCCCAAAGTAATAAATAATATAGATGTGAATTAACGGTGAAATATGTATGTGTGCACAAGTTAATGATATTTTCTTTATTAAATTTCTTATAACTGAATTTATTGTGTAATAATAAGTGCATTGTAAGAATTTACAAAACTAATACTAGTCAATGGATAAAGTGCACAACTATTTTCATAAAAGTCTGTATATATGCTGTGCTAATTTTGCAACATTAAAATGCAAAGTAAATTTGTTAAATAGAACAAAAAAACAACCTAAATCTGCATTATTCCGTAATGAAAAACCGTTGAAAACAGTTGTGTGAATACTCCTAATTGTACTGTTAGCATCGATAGCGATTTATGTCATTCGAGGTGGTTTAAAGTGCTATTTTGTAAGGTTAATTTCTTCATAAGAAGCGTAAAGTACAATCTTTCATTGCAACTCATTCAGATCTACGTTTGTGATATCTGACTGATCTGATTATATTTGAAAAACATCCTGGATTAAATGATTGTTGACTCCGATAAATAGAACTATTTTTGAAGAAAAAAATCCACATAGCCAATCCTTTGATGTCGCTTAGCTAGAAATAACTAATATATCACCTAAAATAACAATCTAATTAACAATCAATCGACCAATAGTATTGGGATAATTCATAGCTGATTAACATAGAAATGTAAGCTGACAAAAATTCATTATCTTTCAACACAATATCCTTCTTCTTTACATTTAATGTAACGTTATCGTCCGTTCGCTTGAATTCCAAGTCCACCAATATTTTCAAAGTATGACAACTTCGCTTAAGGCAAATTTTGTGAAAAGACCCTAAGTTTTTTTATATCGATATTCATTTAATATGGCTTTTTTTAGAAAGATTAATTTGCTTTGGACTGATACTGAAGTTATTTCAGTAATTCATCCATTTAACAAACTTGAATTTTAGAAGTGTTCAGTACCCGACTTATCACATTTTATCACGACCACTTAAAATAATGCTAAAATGTTTGAAAATTGGTGTCAAATTAAATAATACACATTTGCAACCATACTGTCTGACGTTTGGAAGCATTAAATTAAGCTGTATTGTAGCATGTTACCACACACATCTGAGATTGAAACTCGAAAACATACCTACAAACTGATGAGTTATTTTGTTTGTGTATGTCATATTATAAGCCTACTCAAACTTAGTAGACCTAATACTATAAAACCTGCGAAAGAAACTGTGAGGAGTGTCATAACTATAATTGAATGTAAAAGATACAGTCAAATTAAAATAATTATAGGTGAAAATTACATTTGAAATAATCTCAGCGATCGAAGTTTAAATAATTCAGACCTTTCTTCTAGCAAACTTATCTGAACTTCAGGTTAATAATCAAAATCATCAAATCAAATTTATACTATGCTAACCCAATCATATTTAGATGTTGACTTCAGTAAATAGGATAACGTGAGTTAGTTAAATGCGAATCATGTGAAAAGTCCTCAATGTGAAGATAAATGAATGAATGAATGAATGATTGTGTATGTGTAAGATTGAGTTATTAATAGTTGATATTCGGTGTTAATTTGTTTCTATATGAAGAAAAAATAAAAATGCAACTTGAAGGTTGAAAAATTGTTTCTGAATCATCGATGTGAATGTAAAATGAAAACAATCAAATACATAATTGTATTGTTAAAATAACCCATATTAATTTCAGTCAGTATTCAGACTGACCTTCAGTCACCTATAATGACTTCTCTACGCTCGGCACCCAATTTTTGTCAAACTATTCGTTCTAATATTGACGAATATTCGTATAAGTAAATTAAAATGTTGAAAAACTATCAATTACAATCTGTCCGAAAAGGAAAGACTGAGAACAATCAAACATATTTAATATCCGAGTGACCTTTTAAGGTGAAGAAACGAAGCACATAACATGTACAACGATATGAACAAAACTAAAAATCAAATGTACATTAAATAATCAGTAAAAAACTGTAGAAATTTTACCAACCTGATATACAGCTCTAGCTAAACTAACGCGTTGTTTTTGACCTCCTGACAAATTGACACCTTTCTCACCAATTTCTGTCTTATCACCAGCGGGAAGATGAGCAATATCCGTTTCAAGAGCGCATGCAGATACAACATTTTTATACCATAATTCTTCAATCTGCTCTGCAACTGGATTTGACTGAGTAGGATCGCTGGATGTGGCAAAACGAATATTTTCTTGTAGAGATTGTTGTTGTATCCAAGCTGTTTGTGAAACATAAGCAATGGAACCCTAGAAAAATATTGATCATTTTTTTAGAAAAGAAGGAAATATAATTTTTCAAACAATACGAAGAAATTAAACCTAAAAAATGAAATAAGGCAGCCTGAATTACTGATTTGAATACAGTGACCTTGATTGCTGTTAGAGGGATGAAGGCGGTTTGCACTTCCCGGTTGCCCACACCGTGGAAGGGTTCTTCTAGAGGTACCTGAAAAGGAAATTGGGTTAAAGGTGGTTTTAGTGACCTGAGAGTGTAACTGCAGTGCCCAAGGGATAACTGCTTGAGGCCGGGTCACACAACATTTTTGCCAGTAGTTTTTGTGTTAACTCCGTACTTGTTGAAACCTTACCGCCGGAGACGGAAATCCGTGAGATAAGGAGCGGTGTGCATTTTTAGGGTCGACGTTTTATAACTTCACGCCTCCTTTGTGGGAAGGCAGCATCGTTGTTATGCTGGTTGTCTGAAGGAAATACCTTACTGTTATCACACCTCTGTACAACCAACAGCACGACCTCATCCTCTGACTTTGGGTTTGCTGCTTTTGATCTTACCGCTCTTAAACCGATCTGCTTGGCTTAGTAGGACCAGTATAGCTCGGTTGGTTCATTACGATGGGCAAACCCGACCACCACGTCAAGGTAGTAGCAACGGTCCGAAATAGTCAAAGTAATCAGGCAATGACTTGTACCAATTAGCAATAAAAGTATAGTAGAATCGTTTAGGTGCATTTTAGTGATAAATAAAAACAACCTATCGTTCAGAATATCTCGATGCATTCAGTTATTTTTTATGGATTAATTCAGTAGTATCATTTCGTTTATACTGTCAAAACAACACTTAAGATAGTTACATCTTGGCCGACTAATACACACCCACCACTGTACGAGCCTCTGTGTCTGAAAAACCACAGACGGGGTAATGCGATTGGAGCTAGGCTACAAAGTTAATTAAGATAAGCGAAATGAAGATTATTCCTTTGATTATAAGAAATCGTAAAGCTACAGGTTTTCTATAAGACATGGAAACGATGTAATTTACTAAAAGCAAGACAAATTATAGAAGATCTTAACAAATTTCATTCGAATACTAATACACTGAACAAGTATAAATTCACTAACTTTAACAGAAACCTTTCCACTTCGTTTGAACATGTCAGACAGACAGGCTGATAAGAAAGATGACTTTCCAGAGCCTACGTTGCCAACGACTGCGACAAGCCACCCACGAGAGATGCGTACATTCAAACTTAGAAAAAGAGGGACGAACAACAACCAACAAAGTTTATTTAAAAAAGATACCTATCAGCAAACTCAAGTTTATTAGTTATATTACGAATTGGGCTTTGAGACAATGCAGAAATTAATAGTAAGATATTTAAATAAAATCGGATAGTGACTGGTTGGTAGTGGAATCTGAGACACAAGTTTTATCCTATTTAGGACTGGTCAGCTAGATATAATCACATCCCAGTGTTGACGTTTGCACGGTGATTTGAACCCAGTACCTTTCACTTCAAATACTTACTTACTTATCCATTGAGCTAATGGCTTGTGCAGCTTGTGAATTTCTGGTAGTATTGAAGCGACTTTGCTAGTGAGTGGCCTATGCTCCTTCACGAGGAGTAACAGGCGTAAGTAAGTAAGTAAGTAAGTAATTGAAGCGACTTGCTCAGAATTCATATATGCCGATAATGCAACTGGTCAATTACGGTCTTTAATATCAACGGGAAGACACAAACACTTACAAATTCAACAGCAAGTTTTTAATCAAACCTTCCTAAATGACAGAAAACCATCAATTTTAACGACTTATTAACATATTTTAATTCACAAGCTCTCGTTGAATCGATATAAAGTTATGGTGTGAAGATGAATTTAAGCGTTTTTATTAACCAGTATAACTTTGCTTACTTTCGTAATGTCAATGGACCAGTTTTAGTCCATGAAAACGAAGCATTCTCAAAAGTAATAGCATCTGTTGACTCTAAATTAGAAGAATGAAAACGATATTCAAAATTGCAGAATATTGAAACTAAAGCATAAATATAACAATGTTAAATAAAGTTTCATTTTAAATATACAATAAACTTAATCTATTTTATTATATAACACTCCCACACTTGAAATCAAATACCAGAAGTTTTCCTTAATATATGAGCATATTGACAAGGTTTACATCAATTCATGAGATATACAATTCACAAATGTTCTGTGACATTTATGATGAATAAAGAAGAGAGTAAGAAAACTTATTTCGATTGAACACTGTATTGAACTAAGAAAATAAATATATTTTTAAGGGGATTTTCAAGTGAATTTTACGCAAGCCTATGATTTAAATATTTAATATTGTCTTCAATAAACAAACATTCGATCTAGTTATACTATATAAAAGGACTATTTAAAAAATAATCAGAATTTTCCCTTCCTTCTATTTTATTATGCAGTTGAACGCCATGGAAAATAACTTGAAACAATATTAAATCTTAGTCATGATGAGCTTGAGCAGTACTGGGAATATGAAGGTTATTGAAATATCTCAGATGTTCTGAACTTTGAAAAATAATTCTTGATAGAACCTGAAGAATAGACAGCATTAGAATTGATTCGTTTACGAACCTGATAATGTGACTGTAAAGTACTAGGGACAACATTTTGATATCGGAAATACACGAACTTATTGTATGTAGTTTCGTTGCGTTAGCCCTATATTTTTGAAAATTTATTAACCTTCCACCAAATGTAGGGAGAGAATGAGAACGCTGTAGATATGAATTATCCACACTTTTGTAGACAATCCCGACTATTGAGTAAAGATATGGTAAACATCATCTAATAAATATTAGAACAAAAATTCTCAGTATTCATTGTGTAATATTACAATAGATATCTCTTTCATACACATTCAGATTGTAATTATTCAAAAAAAGTACTAAAAATGTTTTTATAAGTCAATATCTTCCACCTGTACTTAATCATTAAAGTTTTCCACTAGTTCAATTGCTACAACGACTTTTCTATTCAGTATAAGGTGCTTGAATTTCAATATATTTGCTTCTAGTTTTTTCCAAAAACACATTTTTAAAAAGGATGTTATGCCAAGAACTATGGTATTTTTGTTTGCAGTTTCAAGTGTTCAGAATCACAATATCTTATAACTCTTTAATAATAGCACATGAGCACATACATAGACAGTTAGCATTTATAATTAATCAGTTCAGGAAAATCTAAAACAGTTCGTTTAGTTGGAAATTTGAGTAGACCGCCATCAATCCATATTTCTTCAATGTACGCTACCACACAAACTGACAATGTCCAAATATGAAACACTAGGGGTGTGCATACTAATCATCAATCTGATTCACATAATCTTACTAGGTCCAATTAATCAGTCATCTCTATATAAAGAAAATGTTACGTTGTATAACCACTACATTCACATTAATATCTCCGTACAACTAAAAAAAAGTATGTTGATTTGCAGAAAATCAGACCCGAAAACTGATAGGTTCATAATAACGCGCAATAACCTGTACTTACTTTCATCAAGAGAATAGGAGTTTTTATCAGAGGAATAATACTCTAATTCATCAGCTAAAAGAAATAAACCAAGGCGGCGAATCGAAACAAAGGCCTGCAAAGTGACAAGCAAAGAAAAATAATAAGACATACAAAGTTACTGAATTCATTACAATCAAACTGTAAAGAAATTAACACAGATATTCAAAACAACTTAGGATCTGGGCACAACTGTACATTAGCTTCAGTTACTTTCTGGTTTTACCATACACCAGCAATAAATGGTTCGAATGTGTTATATCCCTATGAGAATAATGAATGGTAACTTTTGGGATCCATTGTGGAAAAACGTTAGACGTATATGTTTATCGTATAATTGATAAATAACTAGACTATTCATATTCATGTTCCTTCTATCATAAGTTTTATTTTGACCTATGAACTATTATTATACGATTTACCACTCTTGAGTTATGCCTTGTCTATCAATTACTATCTCCCACATTCACAGCCACTTTTGGTTAAATCTTGTACAAATGTTGTTTCCTATTTTATAGTACGATGTGGTCTGTCTGGTCAGTATATAAACCCAGTATGTTTGAAATAAATGATTCATATCGCAGAGGCTGAGATTGGTGTTCTGGACTTAACAGTCAGTGCTATGCGGGAAGCAGGACCGATAAAGACTCTAGACTGCTCGTATGGGTTTTATGAGTCATTGGTCTGGTCGATAATTCACTGTTCTCTAATTGATGGTATCATTACATTATACATTAATAGGACACAGGACACAAGTTATAACAGAATGTATGATCAAATATGTTGCCAACTGTCAAAGGTTATATTTTACAGTTGAACACTGTACGCTAAAGAAGGACGCATACAATCATTACAGTTATATAAAATTCAAACGAGAAAACCGTAACAAATCTTTCGTAAATAGTTATGAACTAAAATAATTCCATTAATTTTATTTGATTAAATATTTCATCAAAACTACACCCAACTTGAACTAGATGAATAAATATTAAAATTAAAGTTTTACTGACTAAAATGGAAGAGGAGTAATTAACCTACTTATTGTGCAGTCCAACAACCACTGAATAGCTTGCAGACAATAATTTATGGAAAATTAGGTTAAACTACTATTGAAACAATACTAAATAGATTAAAGTTTACAAAAATGATTTAATATCTGAGATTTTAGAGCTTAAAACATAATGCTATATAACATTTGTTATCATTATCTAATATTAGAAGTGATATTATTCACAACAAAGAATAAGACTAATTAATAATCCATCGATTTTCACATAGACAACCACCACAAATGTAAATAAATCTAACGACTTGCACAAAAACACTACAAATATACTAATACTGACTATCATTAGCATACTAACATTAAAATACATAGCAGAGAGTATAAATGTATCATTACTAAATTTGTTAAACTCTTCACTTTTCAAAAACAAATTCATTTTATTTTTGTATAAATTTATAACCAAACCGTGGCATCAGTGCTTGAAGTCACTAACTTTTAGTCTGAGCCATGTTGGTAGATGCAGACTACTTGGTTGGGGTCCGCATGACTATCGTAACCAAGGGTTGGAGACTCTTGATGACATGGCTCAGAATCGATCACAATGGCGTCGGTGTATACGCTCTCTGTCTTCCCTTAAACTAAGAGATTAAAATCGCTTCATATCTTTCTCTCTAAGAACTAATTCTTTCTTCCTGTACTATATCCTTATTGCAATCTTTCTTTTATATATTACCACCTCTGAATTAACTACTTTTATGAATCCCGTGTCCATCTTGTTGTGTTAATGAGGTATGGCAACATGGACCGATGCATATACGTGCCTGGTCCTACGTTGTAGCTGACTGACTGTATAAATTTATATAGAGATAAAAGATATACATATTACTCTGAATTACTTCGTCATTGTATGGTAAACTATTTGATAAATAAAATTCAACGTTCATTAATTTTAAGACGAGATAGATGGTGGTTAGCAATAGAATCCAAAGTGTGAGTTTCGTCCTATTATTAATTTTTTTTCCTACAATATGTAATTATTGTATACATCTACATAATTACTTCTCGTCTCAAACACGTTAATAGCATTCATAACTAGTAAAATAATAGCGTTAAATGCTTTTTCATTATTCAACCACATAACCTATTACAAATAACGTAAACAAGCTAATAGAAACTAAATACTTTAACTCATTTACCAAAAACAAGTTAGGTTTAATCCATGCCAAATTTATCTCAAAAGATACTGGTTGACCAATGAAAGTTTATAATTAATTATAAGAAATAACATAAATCCTCTATTGCATGTAAAAAAATATATATCTGATTTTCAAGAAGTGGGCGATTAACAACAACGTACATTTGATTGTTTAGTTAATTACAACGATTAGATATATCGGGACGACATATAAACAAATGGTTATGTATTTTCCAATCAATATACTCTAATAAATCCAACTGATTGTCGTTTCTTTTAAGTGTAGTGGCATTCTAACTCTAGCCAGATGCTATGTGTGGTTATTGAATTCAGACAAAAACAAAAACATGTACTACAATATGAAATGTTGGAAATGATATTTTCACAAATAAAATTTTATTTTTAACGAAGTGTTCTATTATAATTGAAAGCCTCCATTAAATGCAGAAGGTCGACCTTCAAATGTATTTTTCAACTGGCTGCGGTTTATACATAAAATGTTTATCAGATAGATGATAAAAAAGTTATTCATATTTCAACCGACATTTAGAGCATACCATTATTGAAGATGAAAGACTCCATGGCAAAAGAAGTAGTGGACTACGTAGTAAATTGAACAAACTGACACTGACAAAAATCCGTTCAGGTGTTAACAATTGAGGTGTAGGGATATCAGTGGTATTTCCGACCCAATTATCTAACAATACATTGTGGTTGGCGAATAAGAACTCTCTTAAATAAGTAACAAACGTTATCAATAAAATAATATACGGAGCCAAATTCCAAACAACATGGCATAGACCCCAGCCTAAGGCGACACGCAATAGTTCAATTAGTTCAGATTGACGAATTGACTTGACTTGAGATTGAAACGCCTTTTCCCATGCATAAAGTTTAACCACCTAAAATGAAACAATTTTAGCTTAAAAAGGTGCCATTCATCATAACCGATAGCTAACATAGCAACTGACGTGGTAAGGGAAATGATAGTAACGCTTATTATGTCAGTGAACTTTACTACCATGTCAATCCAATCCATTAGGAAATAGCAATATAAATATTGATTCATGAAAACTTTTATAAAACTACAAGACAAAAAAGGCAAATTTGTTACAAAGTCACATCTAGCCTGTTAATTACACAATATCTTGGTCAAATAAATGACAATTAAAAACTTGCCATTAATTTGATGATGCAATCATTGAATATACACGTCCACTGCACCACTCAGCCCAGGAGTTAAAAATGATGCATATATTTGGAGTAGATATTGTAATAAGAATTTGGTAAACAAACAATGATCTTCACTATAGTGGGATGTGATATCTAGTATCAAGATTACTTACATAGTATTTACAATTTGCAAGAGGAAACTTTGCCCATTCATAAAATTATTAGGTAACAGAAGTGTGGAATAGTTATTACTCAAAAATGAGGACTACACATTCAAACGCTTCAAACCTGACATTTTGCAATAACATCAGCCCCAAATGCCCTGGTACGGCCGAGAGTGGGGACAGTCCGCTCTCCCTCTCGAAATGCTCCCACATGACCACGTGCATACAACCACTGCCATGGAAGTCCTACTCACTGCCTTCTCGTGGCCAGGTTTTTTTACAAAATTGAGAGGACGAAAAGCGAATGTCCGGCGCTTTAACCGGGTTGGTGGACACGAAGAGTTCACCAAGGGTAGTTGGAAAACCCTGGTTGCAAAAAAATGGTGCACATGGGCTCCAGTATCGTGAAGGAACAAATGGCGTATGAACCAGTCGTTGGTCACCGACTACCAGGGGACTGCATCACCTGACGTTGCTCCACTGCCTTTTGGATCAGACCTTTAGTTCAAAGGCTCCGAGTGTGGCCCCCTGAGAAAACCATCTGCTTCAGTTTGGGAACCCATGCAGTATCACAGCCCTCATACAAATCGAATGATTGATGTGGCGTATATCTATTTGGTGCCTCCTTGTATCAATGTTTATGTGTTTAAATAAACAAATAAACAATAACATGAAGGTGGAGATCACATTGAACGACCAATCTACTGATAATCAACTAAATACCTAAATATCTAAGTTATTTTGTACGACTAACACACAAAGGTGTATAAATAGACAGGCTTCTGACAATCTATTAGGAGCACTCAACGGTATATACACTTTCAATCGACTAAATGTTTCATGTATTATATATATATATATATATATATATATATATATATATATATATATATATATATATATATATCACCCGAAAATATTAAAATAAAACCACTAAGATAAGGAACCAAATGAGTTTATTATACGATAAATGATTTAAACATGATAGAAGTAAATTTTTTTTATTTTGTGCTATAAACTGACATTAATTAGGCAACCATTGAAAAACAAAAATTAAGGATGAATATAAACTTACACGTATAGCAGCAAGCACTTCGCCTAAGCATTTCATACGCTTGTCTTTATATTTCATTTCACGAATCTGAAAAAGCAAACGAACTAAATGTCTACTTATTTTAAATAAAATAACGGGAACATATATAAACTTAAACAATAAAACATACTTCCACTCGCGACGTATAACTTTATTGAGATGTTACCAGTCAAACGATAATAGATTCTTATAAAGCATTACTTATGTATGTTGGAAGCATTATGTAATGCTGACGTTGAGCGTATAGTATTTGGTAAAATCGCTTAGTGAGACGGTAAACCTTCATCTATTGACAGCATGTGTATCCAGAGACTTCTCACCCTGAGGTCTTGTGTTGACTGATATAAGAATAGGTTAGTTACTATGTTAGAAGTTGAGAAACAAATATATTGAACGAGACCATAAATTTGTTGAATAATGGACTCAGTTGTATCATGAGATTTAAATTTCCTGGTTTATATATATAATCGTGAGCCCTGCTTGTAGACATTACGTAACATGGTTCAAAATCTTGAGATGGTGAAGTTTGTGCTGATGATGTCGTTCAGAAGAACAATGAAGGCTCCACGACCAAACCACCCAGCTCAAAATGGTTCAAAATCGTTTACAGTGTTATATATGCGCTTATTATTTATCTTACTATTTCAATAGAGATTAATGTTATTCCATATGTTTCATCCTTTGATTAAATTTGTGGCTTTTAAATTATATTCTATATTTAGTTACTCACTACAGCTAATATTACTATTTCTTGTTTTGTGATGTATCAATGTATTCTCTTACTGTAATGATATATAAGATTTAGAAACTTGAGCACACTTAAATTTTTGTGCACGGTCTACTGTTATTTATAACTGGTTGATGAACAATTTTCAACAACCTAGATACGATCTACGGTCATAGTTGTAATCCCAATGACCTATCTTCAACGGGAACAGAAAAACAAAATTGACCATTCACTGATTGGTAGAGTAGCCAAATTTAAGAACAACTATAACTTAAAGATAATACTGTTTACCTCAAATTTTTGAGTAGCCCATATCAGTAAACAATTAAGTGGCAATACTAGGAACAAAAATCCAACACCAGCTATCGCAGCTGAACCAAGTTGACGCCATAACAAAATAAACGACAAACCAAATTCAATGAATGCATCCCAAACAAGGAACGAGAACACTAGAAAAAGATTTTATTATAGAGATTATTTGAAGATAAAATATAATGACCAAAGTTGTGTACATTCGTAGTCAGATAACTGAGATTATGATGTTTACTATTTTGGTAAAAAATAATACGGAAATCAATTGTTTAATATAAATACCTGAAACGGATATTAGTAATATTACACTGAAAAACATAAACTATTTATTATCACGTAATAAATATGTCATTGTTTATTAACCACTTAAATAAGTTTCTACCAGCAGGATTTAAATAACACGGATTGCATGAATGTGGATAACTTTAAAGTTTTACAGCGTATTAATAACGCTATTTTACATACTACTGATTTGTTGCCATCAAGCTGCGATTTTAACAGGTTTTCAATGAAATACTATTGAACAAGATCACGAAGTATAGCTCCTAAATCATTGATATTGTTAAGTAAAACAATAAAACAGGCTAGTAAATAATGTGGACAATTGGATACCACCTATGTTAATCACATTACCTAGACTATAAAAACAAGATAATTTAGAAAAAATTGTTGATGTTACAAACCAGAACAAACAGATCATTTTCATATGAAACATTTCCGTATGATTTACCATTAGCGAACAACCACTAGTAAATTGATCTTCGTTGACTAAATATTCCAAACGATTGTACATTCAATCAAAATTAACATGTACAAATTTAGAAATAAAAAAAGTTCACAAGTAAACTTGCACGATGAATTAATTACCAAACTTACTAAAAAGTTCTTTTATACGGTTCACATCAACACTGAGCAAATTTATTAATTCCCCCGTTGTATACTGGCTTCGAGCTTCAGAAGATAATCGAAGAGACTGAGAATAAATAATAAAAATATATTACCCAAAAATTTTCTTTAATTACGAGAACTATGTTGAATGCTGATAAATTAATAAGCTAAACTCACTTTTCGATAAATTGCAGATGTAAGGGCTGATCGGACAGATATTCCCAAGGATAAACAAGAGTAAAAACCCTTTTGATCCACCAAAACTGATATTGACTGAAGAAATAGCATTGAAAATGCAATAAAATATCCTTGCCATGATGGAGCTTCAGGTTTGGAAAGAAATCGAAGTAACATCCTAAAATAAATGTGAATAAAATTGATTACCATGTAATATGAAGTTAATATTGTTAATGTCTTGATTCTATCTCAGTAAAATATTTGTAACATACGTAAGGATTGATAATGTATGGTCCTTATCTGAAGGTATAGAATCTGATCAACTGGTTTCAACTAACTAAACAGATAACGATCGGAAGACAGAAAAATTGAAATCCCTGGAGCGTTTTAACCGTAAAAATATCATCCTCATTACAATTCAAAATTTCCAGACAATCCTGGTGAAAAAAGCATAACAATGGAAATAATACACATCATACTAGATTACACTACGTCCATATATGCACTTACCCGAGTAACAATGGTGAGCTGTAGTTGAAGAATACAGCAGCCGAGATTAAAATCCACCCGGAAAATAGACGCAAACCAAAAGATGAAATAAGAGCATAGAATAATCCCCATGTGGCACGTGCAGGACTGGCTTTAATTGTACTCTGCTTACATACTTCTAGATTATGTGAGTTTGAGTTATTAGTAGTAGATGGTGACAAGATATCAACATCAGGTGTTGCATTCAACATATTTGCATCATTTGAGACATTTTCAGTATCTTCATTATTCTCTTCAAAGTCCGTCAACAACGGCACATCATCATCCACAACATTTGGAAATGGCGTTTCTGATCTTAAAAAATTGACCAGAGAAACAATAATTTTAGAGAAAAAAACATTTAATTAAGTTGCAGAACCTAAGTTTTATGTTGTTATAAATAATTAAGGCTTGATAATTAGTAATTCCAACTCAAGAAAATGAAAAATTTTAGCGCAAGTGAGAATCAGTCAAAAAACTAGGATTCATTGTAGATAGATTAGTATACAGAAATATACACCGGCAACATGCTACGTTTCATACTCTCTGTTAAACATTAGCGATCCTGTTCTTGTGTCGATAAAAAATGTCAGTTAATCGAATGTATTTAAAGCACTAAGAGCGGTTTATCTAAATCATTAATCTAAATAACGTAGCACAGATACATGTACTTGGCTGTAATATACAGTTTTTTTTCTACAGCCATAGTATATAGACCAAGACTGAAACCTTTAAGTAGAGTGCTTTAGCCACTACGTCATCTGTATCAACAAATCCAATCCAAGAATCTCTAATGATCAAACAAAAAATTATTATGTGAGAGTTATTTACTAGAAAATCAACTATAATCAAGCACAAAATTAGATCACTTGTATGAACAAAGTTGAACCTACAACCCCAAATGACATATTTTATAAAAATTAATCAATAAATCACGGTGTGAATAAAACCCGACGTTTAAATCGGATTGGTGTCATGCAGCTGTAGTGATTTTAAGTAGCAAAACGATAATGAACTTTGAACTCATCAAGTGGCTGATAATATAATAATATATAATTATTTGTGAAAGTTACAGTATATTAGTGTTTATAAATAGACACAAGGTAAAAGATTTATTTTTTACAGGACTCATACGACAAACTACACTTCAAAGAGATGCGTGAAGGACAGCTGACAGCTGCATTCCAAATGAGGACCGTAATCGGACAAAGCTGATTACTTTCCCCCTTCTTCTCTCTTCTGGTGGCCAACTGGATTATAAGGATCTCTACATTTCAAGAAAACAAGGAATACAATGGACAGCCCGGAATCAACTAAGCGATTCGGACTTCGCAGATGACCTAGCTCTTCTATCCCATACACACGAAAAAATGCACGTCAAGACAAAAATTGTGATAGAAGCCCCTGAATCAGTAGACCCCAACATAGCAAGATCTACAAATACAACAGAGAGCACCAACCCAATCACGCTTGATGGAGAAGCTCTTAAGGAGATGGAAACTTTCACACATCTGGACAACATCATCGACGAACAGGAAGGATATGACTCGAATATGAAGGCACGGGTTGGCAATGCAAACGCTGTATTTCGACAGTCAAAAAACATCTGATAGGTATCTTCGGAATATTTCTCGCGTATTACAGAGCGAGCAATGTTGAGATTAAACCCGGGGTACTAGACAGGTATTGTAAATCAGTCGATAGATTGTGAATCTTTATCAACTGAGGTGGTTGGAACATGTACTATGCATGTTCAACAACCGCCTACCTCGACGCGCGATCCCGGTATAGGGGTAGGTTGGAAGAAAACTAGAAGGGCCTGGACAGAAATTTGGAACCAATCCATTAATTCATTAATTGTTGGGTTTAACCATGCCAGTAGGTGGAGGCTACTTAGTTTGGGTCCTCAAATGTAACGTGACCGATTGTTGGAGTAGGATGGTGGTTGAGAGTCAGTTTCAATAGCACGATACATTTACTCTTTGTCATCCCTTAGATCTTATGTTCAAAAGTTATTTAATGATCATTATGATAAATTCCTAATAATCGCCTCGAAAGTAATAATAAGTTGTCTCATCTACCAATCACGGGTTTGTATACTCACCTTTGAACCGCTCTGCTTGTGTTAAGGCTAGTGATACTAACTTGCTGCACAAACCGAAGTCTGTAGAGCAAGAATTCGACTTTCGTGATCTGGTTGTAAACCTACTGCTTTAACCAATAATAATCTAGTATGTAATGTGTTTGCGATTGAACGACTTCTAAGATTGGCCTATTAAAAGGTATACCTTAACTAAGCTTAATGTTTCGTGATTTATTTTACTAAGCAGCTCCATATAATGAGACATCTCATTGAGATACAAAGTCGGAAGCCATTACAAAGTGAATACTTACTTCTTTCTCGTGAACCAAAGATTATAGGATCTACGCCAGGCACGCTTAAATCGACCATAACTTTCACTAACTGAATCTTCAGGACGTATATGAAACATATCTGAAGGACTGTTAATTTGACCTCGAAATCCTTTCCAAATAGTACTGCATGCAAAATCAATGTTGAAAAAAAGATCAATAAACGATTCATATAAAAAAATAATCAAAGTTTCTATAATAATATCAATAATAATATAAACGACAGTTTATGCTTTAAATTATCAGAGCATGTAACAACTTTCAGTAGTCTAGAGAAGCCTAGTGTAATAACTGACAACTTTGGGAGCGAAAACTATTTACTGTAAAACCTAACAAAAAGGAAATTTTTCGTGAGTAGCCATCGCTTGACTACGCTTCGTATCAATGGATGTCACCGACCGATCGACGTTCTTCCCTCTCATCTTAAAAATCAATAATTCGATCATCAGTCAATATAAACTTACTGCGTAACAGTTAACAAAAGGTTTAGGTTGCCGAAACAAAACATGACATCAACACATGCAGTAATTATCTGTCGAACTATATCACGTCGGGAGATGTAAACTTTTCAAAATTAACGAGAAAACTGTTATCTGTAGTTGAAGATGACATACGATACAGTACAAAGTCGGTCTCAGTAACACATACATACATTTCTTATCTCACCTATATTACTAAGATTAGTATCATCCCATACTTTTATCCCCTAGTTTTATTTGTTCATTTCATGATATATTTGAGGTTTAGTTCTGACTATAGTTATTATCATTAGTTTATCATTCATTGAACTTTCATCTAGATTATTTCATCCCTCGTTGAGCAGATGTAATGTAACTTATGACAATAAATATTTGTGAAAGGTTCAACGCTGTTTATGAATGAATAATACGTCGTTTGTGTACAGTTGTGATCTAATTATGAGTGAAGTGATTAAAATGCGACTCTCTAGACAAACACTGATTATAAACACCAAATATGTCACGAAATTTATCAAGATGACATACCTTGTCAACCAACTGAAAGTCCATAAAGCCGGAACAGAGGCCCATAACTCTGGACAGGCGTCCTAAATATATGAGAAATGAGAAACACATATCATGCATGTTACGGCTACTGTCTCAAAATAAATAAAAAAACAAAGCTACGGTTCCCAGTGTTTGACAATTTTGTAGTTCGCACAAATATACTTTAAATCACAGCAACCATACTGTCTGTGGTATATAGATCTGGTCCTAAATAGCAAAGGATTACTTGGTCTTTCACATCAAATACATAGGTTATCCAGGAAACGGGGTTTCTTAGGTTGCATAGCATCTTTAGAAATTTCACTAAAATAAACTTATCACAACGTTTAAACCTTAAGTCACGTTAGCATCTCTGTAACTGGGATGTCGAATTTTGGCCATAAGCTCCTGATGCACGACTAACACAAAATTGTTTAAGTTGGTAGTAATAAATAATAACTCCCAGCGCAAACATATTCGATGTCCCAAAATGTGTAATATTTCAAAGGTTTAGTTACTTTGTTGAGATTGGTACTACTTCAAGCCCACATAGGTTATTCTAGCCCCTGGACAGATCAATCCATTCTTCTTAAACCACATTTGACCTTGTTAATTATTCGCTTATGTAAGTGTGTGAACATTTCTTATCTTATCACATGTCTGTAACTCGTTTTTGTTTGACGATAGATATCGATTCACGCTTAGTTAGGTTGGGTTGGCTTAGGTGCCTCCTCCATAGCGTGTTATTTCCCTCCGCTCACTTCTCTTCGGTCCGTTTCTTTGATCGTTTGTCTGGATCAACGATTGTATGAAATACACGTATTCAAAATCCATTTTCGTATTTGACTTATTTAATTCCGTTATTCACTAACGTGATTTAAGTCGATAACTATATGCGGAGACTAGCGATATGTGTGTTTCGATAACAGCCATTTATACGATCAACCCGGAGTCAGATCACCGGAACACAAAAACTTAGCCGCCTGGACCAAAGGTTAAAAGCTAGTTCTAACGACATTATAGCGATCATAACATTGGAGATCGCACAATAGATTCGGCCCATTAGTTACTTCATGTAATGACTTAAATAGGCTTAAGTTTTATACAAGACGCAGGGACAACATCGATGACGTTGAATGACTATACACTTACTGGGAACTGAAAAGCTAATATTACGACCCAAAATAACTATGATACAAAAGTGACAGTTTAAAATTTAAGATTTCATTCCAGGAACTTACTTTGTCATCAAGCAAAGAATTTTGTTCATTAAACGGTGAGAAAAACTGAATAAGCAGCTCTCCAAAAGCTAGACATATATAGACAGAGATGGTAGCTGCATGAATCCAGTAAAATGTAAGCTGAAAATATAGAAACGAAATTGCAACTCAAAAATTCTGATCAGCATTTCGAATAACCGCATGAATTAGGTACACTTTTGAACGTTTGGTACGGAGAACTCATAGACAAAAACAATCTCGTAGTGATTAGATAGCGTTATCTGAAAAGGAAACTGGGTCAGAGTTGGTTTTAGTGACCCAAGAGTATGACCGCAGTGCCTAAAGGACAACTGCTTGAGGTGATTCACACACGACCTTTTTGTGGATCTTTTTTGTTAGCTCTATACTTGTTGAGATCCTACCAGTGGAGACAGAAATCTGTGGAATAAGGCGAAGTGTGTGATTTTAGGGTCGACCTTTTCTAACCCCACCATTCCTTTATGGAAAGGCAGCATAGCTGTCATGCCCGACCGTTGCAGGTACCTCGACGTGGTGGTCGGACTTGCCTATAGTAATGAACCGATCGAGCTACACTGGCTGGAACAATCGTCCCCAATATCCTACCAAGCTAGACAGGTCGATTGAAGAGCGATAAGACTAAAAGTAGCAAACCCAAGGTCCGAGAGCGAAGTCGTACTGCTGACTGTACAGATGTGTGAAGACGGTTAGTTGTTTCCTTCGGACAACCAGCATTACAACGGTGCTGCCTTCCCACAAGGGATTATTTTAACTAATATAGCATCTAAAATACTAGCCTCAATAGTTATCGGACGACTAACTAAGACTCGTGAAATGAAAGCACAGGAAAATCAGGCTGGCTTCAAACCTAGTCTTGCTTGCATCGATCACATATTCACCATTCGTAGAACAAAGACATGCTTATCAACGTCCGACAATGATTGTTTTTCTTGACTTAAAGGCAGCATTTGACTCTGTAGACCGAGACGTTTTGTAGCAGTGTGTCATTGAAAGATGTACCTCAGAAGTAAATAAACTGTGTGAAGGCTCTTTACACGAACACTACTAGTCGATTCATAGCTTATGGTGAACTGTCATCTAATTTTACAACCTCAAGTGGTGTCCGTCAAGGCTGTCCACTATTTCCACTTTTGTTCAACTTCATCATAGACATACTGATGGAAATGACGCCCACATAGACTGAATTTTCGGGCATTGATCTCCTATCAGGAGGTCCACTTATCGACTTAGAATACGCAGATGATATAGTCCCGTTTGATGAAGACGCTGACAAAATTCAATCTTTCGGTAGCACTGAGCAACAATGCCAGTATATTTGGAATGCGTTTCTTGTCCTCAAAATGCAAATTACTGCTTAAGAACTGGTCTGCGTCAACACATGAAGTAGTTGAACGCGTCGACAACTTCACTTATCTTGGAAGTCTGATCAGCCCCAATGGGTTGGTGTTGAACAAAATCTCAGCACGGATTCGAGAAGCTTGTTTGGCTTTTGTCAACGTACGTCACCTGTGACGAAGGCAAAATATCCGTCTATCAATTAAGGGGCGAGTATGCTGTGCGGCAGTTCTGTTCGACTTTACGGCTGCGAAACGTGGCCATTAAGAATAGGAGATACTCGTAAGCTACTAATAATTGATCACAAATGTCTTAGAAATATTGCTCGCATCTGCTGGGATCACCGGATAAGTAATAGTGAGATTAGACGCAGGGTATTAGGGAATGATGGTAAATCAGTTGATGAGGTTGTGTGTCTTCGTCAACTGAGATGGTTGGGCCACGCATTGCGTATGCCTGAATACCAATTACCACGATGAGCAATGCTGACTACTTTGCAGATGGTCGGAAGAAAGTTAGGGGCGGCCAAACCAAGACGTGGCATCAGTGCTTGAAGTCACTGACTTCTGGTCTTAGCCACATTAGTAGATGCAGACTACTTGGTTGAGGTTCGCGCGACTATCGTAACCAATGGTTGGACAACTCTGCGTGATATAGCTCAGAATCGATCACAATGGCTAAGGTGTATACACTTATTATCTGCTCTTAAACTGTTAGATTAAAATTACTTTATACCTTTCTTTGTACGAACTAATTCTTTCTTCTTGTATTATATCCTCACACACAATCTTTCTATTATATATTACTACCACTGAAGTACCTACCATGAATTTGGTGTTGACCTTGTTGTGCTGATAAGGTGTGGCAACTTGGACCGATGCATACATATGCCAGGTCCTACGTTGTAGCCGACTGGCTGGTCTCTGTCATGGTGGTTGTCTGAAGGGAGCACCTTACTGCCACCACACCTCTGTGCATCCAGCAGTAGAATTTCGCTCTCGGACCTTGGGTTTACTGCTTTTAGTCTTATCACTCTTCAACGACCTGTCTGGCATAGTGTGGCCGTTATATCCCAATCGGATTATCACGACAGGCAAGCCCGATCACCACGTCGAGGTAGCCGCAATGGTTGAGTAAAGTGTACTGTCAACTAACTTTTCACTTCGCTAACCCATCACCATCACTATCGTCATCCTAACTAGCATCATTATCCAGTTTAAGTATGACTGATGAACGCACATATCAAACTCAGTACAAAGGCTAAACAGAAAAATAGTGATGTATAAACTTGACGATATGACTCGCTAGATAGACCAAGTTAACTGGGATAGCAGAATCGGGGTAAGACTACAACCATAAGTTTATGAATGATCATGTACGAAACTGTGATCATAGGATTACTACTAAATATTCCTTGAGTATGAGGGTATGATCGAAGTACATAGATGTTAAATTTATGAGTAAAGTGAACGGAGATTCACATTCTAAATTACAAGAATAATAAAACACTAATAAAGCTGCTTATAATATAACATATACGAAACATTTTGTTATACATTCTACTTCCATATTTTATAAGATTGTACAAAAGTAGCGGGATGATTGCTGATCGTATATCAAAACCGAATATACAAATTAGTACTGAGTTGCCCACTCAAACTTACATTAAAACTGACGTAGACTATGAATAACCATTCTCTATTTTTAGTCAGCATATACATGAGAACAAAAACTTACTAAAGTCTCACTTGTTTTTCATCAGTTCTCACCATTTCAAAAATGTTACCTATGTAATTCACGGCTTTAAAAATTAAGTGATAGCTTGTGTAGTATTAAGGTGGTAAGAAATGTAATATGAGATCCATCTCAGTGATATATTATAATATATTTAGGATACTTTGATGAAAATAATTACATGAAAGCTGAAAATTGTTCTGTTGCAAATATATGTACTTTTCTTACTTGGTCCGACCATCCTCTTCCAGCATATAATAGACCGTAAAGACGGGGTAACATGCATACAATTATTAAGCACGTAAAAGCAAACAGCATTTGTGAGCGTGGTTGACAAGCACGGCGTTTATACTCGACTAATAGCATATAAGAAACCTGACAAATAATAAAACGGTCAAAAATTGATTCTGCTATAGAAAAAGCGAAAGTTAAAACGCGAATTCACTAAAAATCACAACTAAGAGTTAACTAAATAGTATGTAGAAGTAACAATAGAACCCTAAGAAACCAAGTTGACTAATCATATGAATTTGTGAAAACATTAAGTAGAACAAGCGATATACAGCACAATACAAGTAAGGGTTATTTGAATATGACTAGCAAACTGCATGCTAACAGTATTTTTGGACAGTTGTTAGCATTGAAATTTAGGAAGCGTCTTGTCCTATTCGAGATTCACTAAGTGGATGCAACCGCATCTGACAATTCATATTTCTAAATTCCATACTATTATCTGTTACGTCATGGAGAAGCACTGCACAGAGTCAATAGAAAGAGAGTAGAAAACGTCCATATATATGGTTGATATCATGACAACTAACATTTAATAGACCCATCAGTTGCGATGGCTGGGACATGTGTTACGTATGCCCAACGACCGACTTCCTCGACGTGCGATGTTCAGTGGTATAGGAATAGGTTGGAAGAAAGCTAGAGGCGGCCAAACCAAAACATGGCACAAGTCCATGAAGTTACTGACAAGTAGACTGAGTCATGTTGGTAGGTGTAGACTACCTGGTTGGGGACCGCGAGATGATAGCAACCGATGGTTAGAGACCCTGAATGACATGGCTCAAAATCGTTTGCAATGGCGCAGGTGCATCCACTCTTCGTGTTCTCCCAAATTCTAATCTTCTGAATCCTTCATGTCCCTTTTTTCCTCTTTCCAAATTTATTTCACTGGATTATACTCTTTAAATAACATCTCTAAACCCTAATCTTCCCGATTACTGCTTATACTCTTGCTACCTCTACCACTACGGGATTTGAATCGACAAATGCATCTCTGTGCTAATGTGGTGTGGCAACTCGAACTGATGTACATACGTACGAAGTTCTACGTTGTTACTGACCGACTGACTGACTGATTTAATGGACCGATACGATGTATACTATTAGTTGCAAGTTCGACATTTCCTCGTTGTTAGTGTTTAAGAATACACTGATTATAAGGTCTTTAGCTGTCCATTGAGAAAGTACCAGTTCATTAGAAGTTGTGAGTCTGAGCTATAATTCCATCTGGCTTTGAATATAAGACTAGAAACTATTAAAAGCAAAAATAATAGTTGTGGATCCAAAGCCCGTTAATATTGGAGTAAATCAGCAATTTTCAGTAGAAAAAGGTCATGGTGATCATTAGAACACGATAACAATACTTGTATGACCTAATATGACAGAATATCTTATGTGCCATGATGAAAGCTTTCCATAATTGATGACAAATCTAATTAGTGAATCCAATTTCTATCTTTAGGATACTTGTAGTACTCCGCTCTTTTGAAGCACAGTTAGAGAGCTAGTTCTACCAAAAGTTTTTATATCTACCAGTCGTTAAAGACTTAGATAACAAACGAAACACAAATCCACTTACAACTGAGACAAACAAAATGGTCATGGAGAAGTACTGCACAGAGTCAATAGGAAGAGAGTAGAAAACCTCCATACATATGGTTGATACCAATAATATAATTGCACATACAGCAACTCCAGAACAGAGAACCTAGAACTTTAATGCTAGAAAAAACAACAAACCATTCGAAGACACTGTAAAATTCCGAATTTTATCAAAGCAATAGGGAGGTTCCATGTGTGTTTTTTGAATAGCACGGACAGTATAAACATGCAAAACAAGGTTAATCCAGGAAATGCAAGCATAGAAAATTGGAAACATTCTGACAACTTGAAATCCGATCCCCAAACTTCTGTAAGATTCTATGACATTGTGACTAAAAGTTATCTCGGACCTACGAAGAAGCTGTCTGAGCAAACGGTCTTTTATACGACGGTTGCTCCATCGCGACAATAACAGGACTCATATGAAAAATGGTGGAAATTTGATGCAGGCGGTGTCTAGTGTTGTAAGCATGTACCCAAACAAGGTCATATCCAAAAATACACCATAAAGGTCACCGAATTTAAATGCAGACGAATAAAACTGAAAACAGCTTCTCTTTTAATGATTCCTTCATCCAAATCCTCCTGTATTTGTAGCGAAAACCAGTTGTGGAATCGTTATGTGAACTTGAGGTCAAGTTTATTGGGATGTTTTATATCACTGAGTCTTTATATTTTAGAACATAGGCAACTTAAAATTGAACTTTTATTGAGTTAACTTGCCATTCGCTGAGTCGACTTTTTCCAAAATTTTATGCTTGATATAGTCACCACATTCCTATTTGGCTTATCTGCCAGTCAACAGTAGTATGTCTGAAATACACGCATCCCAAACGTGTTAACAGAACATATACGAAGTCAAGCGGGATATGGGTTTAACAAGTGCCTATATCGTTCAAACAATGGATGCTGAAATATGATCACAATCTATCATGTGAGAACGACCATATACGGCAACCTAGATGCTATTAAATGGTCTCATGTTCCAAATTCCAAATACAATACATTCGTTTGTGCTTGTGTCTTACTTCTTAATTCAGTTGCGTTAATTCTGGATTCCTAGTTTATACGATAATTCAAATACGTGTGAATATTATACTGGCGTAGCGATGGAGTATGCGATGGAAAAGTTAGATATTCACCCAACTTCGGAAGCTTTTGAGGATTATTTGGAAAGGTTTGAAATCGGTAGCATGACTAAGAAAGATGTTAAAGGTAATAAAATTATGGCACATTTCCTGACATTCATTGGGAGAGAAGCGTACAGCTTACTAAAAACTTTGGCATATCCAGAAAAACCTATCTCACCTCCTTATGCAACTCTTAAGGAGCTATTATTAAATCATGTGAAGTGCACCAGTTTTGAATGCCGTGAAAGGGCGAAATTTCACAAGATGGTTCGTCAAAATGACCAAAAAGTTGGGGGATTCATCCTTGAATTGCAGAAACAAGCTGCCAAGTGTAATTTCGGTGATCAACTTCATGTGCAACTGAGAGATCGATTAATTGCAGGAATTAACATACCGGTTTGGAAAGAGAACTGTTAAGAATGCCAAACTGTTCCTTTCAAGATGCTAGAACTGCATGTATTAACTACGAGGCAGTGAATGAACTTGATATCCAGTCGATGAAGATTCCTAATACTTTGCTTAGTCGTCATGATGAATCTTCATCTACTTTGACGACAATTAACACTCCTTTTGGTCTGTTCAAATACAATTTCCTTCCATTTGGTCTAAGTTGTTCTCCAGCCATATTTCTGGAAGTTATGAATAAAGTAGTTAGTGATCTTGAAGGTGTTGAAGTTTATCAAGATGATCTCATTGTTCATGGCTCTAATGTACATTCTGTGCTTATTACTGATGCATCCCCTGTGGGAATTGGTGCAGTTTTGGAACAGGAAGGCAGACCAGTTATTTGTGTTTCACGCAAACTTACTGTTACTGAACAAGGTTATTCACAGTGATGATGTCACAGGTATTCAGTGTTTCACAACGCTTCTACCAGTAACACCTTCTAATATGTTTCGTTCCCACCAAGAGAAATCAAAAGACAGAGTCGAGGAGATCGGAAGAGTATATTTGGCGATGACCAATATACCGGGATTCTCTGATCTAATCTGGCTAGCGATTGTGGTTGATGTTGAGCACGGCGTTACTACACGTGATCTGGTGCGGATGCCTGACCGAGCGCCTTCAGCTAGATGAGTCCACTAAAACATATGGTCAGCATCCAATGTCGAAAACTTACAGAGCTATTTATTTTAGGGATTTATTTACCGCTACAGATCACTCCCCCCCTAGTGGGGCAGTGACGACCCTAAGACGTGGCCAGCCAGAAGTTTAAACCCAACGAGTTTGTCGTTGGTAAACACTCTTCTGATAGCTTACTAAATTTAGCAGCGTCTGGTCGTCTTTCCTTACTATATGGGACGGAGGTACAACATAGTAAAAAAAAGAAAATGTACAATGAAAATTTCGGATCCTCATAAACGTCATCGTTCTTTTCCAGCCGTCCTGGAAAAGAAAAAAGAAAATGTAAGTGCATGTCGAAATACACTCGTATATGCGTAAAAACACAAGGTCGGCGGAAAAAAAATGGAAAATAAACTCATGAGCACGTAATAGCGTTAAAAAATTGTTTTTTTTGTTTTTTTTTTTTTAATAGAAATAAAAATATATAAGCATATTAAAATTGTTTTTTTTTTCAAAAAAAAAATAATATAAAATGTCGAGAAGTGCCTTACGTGCAATAGTCGTTTAAATGTTCTGGAAATCTCACCCTTCTTCCAGAACGCGTCGTTTTAAGTTTATTTTCGGATACTGTCGAAGTATCTTCGTGTGCGTTGGTTGTCGGATGAGGTATTATTAGTGTCTGAGTCGTGTCGTTCGATTGTACCGAAGGAAAATCGACGTGGATAGGATTTCCTTCTAAATACGCTGCTTTTAAGCGATCGATGCTGATGCTATCGTTGGTTCCGTTCTTATCGACTATATAGTACTTAGATTCACGTTGAAGAACTTTGAAGGGTCCTTCGTATGCTGATTCGAATGGTCGTCGATGCGAGTCTCGACGAATGAAAACGTGTGTACTATATGGTAAGTCAGGTTGAACGAAAACATCAGTTGATTGAGGTCGAGTGGAAGCAGGTTTAACTGAACGCATTGCGTTTGTAAGCCTGTTCGTGTAGGAGGTTAGATCCATGTTCATCGAAGAGCACGAAGGATCCACGAATTCTCCTGGAAGTCGAAGTGTCGTTCCATAAACGAGTTGAGCCGCAGTGTATCCAATGTCAGCTTTCACTGCATTGCGGATACCTAGTAAGACGAGTGGAAGAGCGTCGGTCCATTGTGAAACGTTTGCAGCTGATAGCGAAGCTTTCAGTTGTCGGTGAAAACGTTCTACCAACCCGTTTGCTTGGGGATGGTAGGCGGTCGTTCGGAAGCGAGTGATTCCTAAAAGTGTGGTCAGACGACGGAAAAGATCAGATTCAAACTGACGTCCGCGGTCTGTAGTGATGGTTGAAGGGCAACCGAAGTTTGCTACCCATCGTTCGACGAATGTGCGGGCCACTGTTTCAGCAGTGCTGTCCTTGATAGGTACTGCTTCTGGCCATCGAGTGAAACGGTCTACGCAGGTTAAGAGATAAGAGTATCCATTTGAATCTGGTAAAGGTCCTACCAAATCCAGATGAACATGGTCGAAACGAGCATCGGGAGTTTTAAACGAGCCTAAGGGACATTTATTGTGTCTGATAACCTTAGATTTTTGGCAGCTTACACAGGAGCGTGCCCACTCCCTCACGTCTTTATTCATGCCAGGCCAGCAAAATCGTTCTGCTATAAGCTTGATGGTTGCACGAACACCTGGATGAGAAAGTTTGTGCAATGTGTTGAAGACATTGCGTCGATAATGTTTCGGCACGATTGGGCGATCCCTACCTGTAGATGTGTCACAAAGTAAGGTTTCCTTACCTGTTCCCATCTGTTTGATGCGTAGTTTAAGTGTTGTGGACGATAACTCGTGCTGAAGATCACTGTCTTCTTTTTGAAGCTCGGCGAGTTTAAGAAGGTCGATTCCTTGGAAACTGTTCAAGGAAGTTATACGAGATAAAGCGTCTGCAACTACATTGTTTGCTCCAGAGATGTGTTGAATATCTGAAGTAAACTGCGAAATGTAGTCCAGTTGTCGAGACTCACGGGGAGAGTACTTGTCAGAAGGAGAGCTTAACGAGAAAGTGAGCGGTTTATGGTCCGTGAAAAGAGTGAATTCACGGCCTTCGATATAGTGTTGGAAATGCCGTACAGCACAATACATAGCTAGGAGTTCCCTACCGAATGTGCTGTACCTCGATTCGGTGTCTAGCAACCTTCTAGAGAAAAATGCCAAGGGTTGCCAGGAGTTGTTAACCCATTGTTGTAAGACTCCTCCGATTGCTGAGTCGGATGCGTCTACTGCGATGCTAATGGGTGCTCGGGTGTCCTGATGTGCGAGCATTGTTGCTTTAGCAATCAGTTCCTTGACTGTGGAGAATGCTTTTCGTGCGGTGTCGTCCAAATTAATGGATTTCGCATTTCCACGAAGTTGGTCGGTCAGAGGTTTCATAAGTGATGCGCATCTGGGTATGAAACGTCTATAGAAACTTACCAGGCCGTTGAACGTGCGTAATTGCTTGACGGTGGTCGGTTCTGGGTAATCCAGAATGGCCGCCACTTTGGTTCTAAGGGGTCGGATACCTTGAGCATCGATAGTGTGTCCCAGAAAGTCTAACGAGTCGGTTCCAAATTGGCATTTCTGAACGTTTACAGTTATGCCATGTTTTTGTAATCGTTCGAAAACAAGGTCCAGATGCTTGAGATGTGTTTCTCTGTCCGGACTTGCGATTAGACAGTCGTCAACATACGCGTGTACGAAGTTGAGACCTCGAAAAACGTCGTCTATGAATCTTTGGAATGTTTGAGCAGCATTCCTTAGACCGAAAGGCATTCGCAAAAATTCATAGAGTCCGAAGGGAGTTATGATAGCCGTTTTCGGTATGTCGTCAGTAGCCATAGGGATTTGGTTATACGCTTTAACCAAGTCGATTTTCGAAAAGACAGTTGTACCTTTCAAGGTAGCTGTCAAATCGTGAATGTGAGGCAACGGGTAACGATCGGGAATGGTTTTCGCGTTCAATCGCCGATAGTCACCAGTTGGACGCCAATCGTTGCTGTCCTTTTTAGGGACCATGTGCAACGGAGATGCATATGGGCTACTTGACG